CGGCTCGTGAGACATCATCAGTGGGGATAGGCAGCGCCCGCTAGCCGATGTTCTGCTTATATAACGATAGCGCTCAGAGATAGTCTTCCGCTCTCATCTACCCGACCTTGATGTTCGACTCCGATGAGGCGCTCTCGAGGATCTTGGTGGTATAATGGGACTTCCAAGGGTTTGTTCCCCTCATAGGCAGGATAAACCGTAGTACAGATGTGTAAGAAGTATTATATGCATTGTGAATTGTTTCGCTTGGCCGAGATGAGCATGGCTCACTCCAGTGTAGGACATGAAGGCACAGCGACCACTACCGCTCTGGTCGGTGGCTGAGAGGCGCTTAATCCTCTCCCCCTTCCCAGTGGGCACGGCGCTCACATTCTTTTGCGCTCTGAGCGCGTTTTGAGCCTGGGATGCTCACTCAAAAGTTGTAGGGAATGACATGTAGAACATATTCTCTCGTGTAGATTTCCAATTCTTACAATATCTCGAGAACTAGGCTCCAACTTGAAAATCGCCACGAGAGAACTTGTGCATTCAATGTCTAAGATACCCCTTCACCACTCTGCTCGGTCATAATGGGAGGTTTTGGGGAGAGATCTTTCTTTTACACGTTGACCGCCCTTCAGCCACCACCATTCCATTTGGCCGTCTTGCCGTCTAATCAAGCCGTAGATTATCATGCAATTCGAGCCCCGAGGCATAAGCGAAGGCCGGGCGCTCTGACGCGCGCCTCCTCGGTTAACCCGGGCGCTGCCTATCCCCAATCATCAACTGTGCCTCCTCCCATATCCGGCAAGCGTAGTACATATGGCCTCTGATACCGGTGCGTCCCTGACCGACCAGGATAGGCATATACTAGCTGAGAATGGATGCTTGATAGCGATGAAAAGTGGGATTCAAGGACACTGCGGAGCCTGGGAGGTTCCCGTGTTTCGTGAAACATGCTTCTTACGGTTCCCTCTGCACCCCGGGTGCGAGTAGAATCCACGGAAAATTCATTCAACTTGAGCGGCATGATACACAAGTGTCTCAGCCGGAAACTCGTGCCGGAAAGTTGCCCGACTCGTGTCAAACAGCCTGTTGGACCTTCTTGCAAGAAAGGACTCGAAGGTCATGGAGTTGATACAATGTAAACCCAAACTCATTACTTCCAAGGACTATCTCACGCCAGGCTTGCGGTGCGAGTGAGAATGGGGTGTGATCCACCTATCAAGTGCCATGAGAGGCATCATCTATAGTCTACAGAGAGAAAGGCCAAGAAATTGATACATAGGGCATTCGATGCATGAGATATACCGAGGGGGGAGGGATAGTGGATACTGAACTCTAAGGACGTGGAGCGGTGACATCAAGAAATACTATGATACATAACGTAGGAACGCACGGGACGGCTCGGAAAATGCCGTAGCAATGATAACGTAGTGTTGAGAGGTGAGAGGAACATCCAAACAAGCGAAGCAAGGGCAGAGCGCGAAAGCACTCGGCTACAGCCGCTCAGGAGGGAGTCTAGTTCAGAGAAGCTCGAGCTTGCTGCACCTCGGCGAGATGGATGCCTGTGAGCGAACCTATCAACGCCGGACTTCCGCAATCAGTATAATTCAAACTTACCCATAAGAGGGCATGTAGTAGACAGGATCGCCATGGCGGCGGTGATTCTATCCAGACTCGAGGTGGGGCCCGTCAAGTCGTCCTGTCGGACAGGACCAGCGCTATGCCTGAGCCGCCTAATTTCGCCGATCAACACCTTGCATATAGTCGACCACAGAATCTAGTGCACAACCGTGTCAGCATTTCCAGCATCTCCAAGTAAAAAAGGGACCCTAGCGCTCCGAGCTCACCGCAATTACGGGATCTAGATGCTGATACTGGTTGACGTCGACAATGTCTAGGGCTCGGATAGCTGCGATAGCAACACCGACAGTCTTCTGCCACGACATCGGCTGGGAGCTAGAGAAGGCCGAGTGCAGTTGGATAGACGCAGCACACGCGAAGGTGCGTGACACAAGCAGTTCTCGCATGTCGTCGGGTCCACGATTCCTGATCGCAGCAAGCTTCCGATGGAATCTCTCAATGTGGTTATCGAGTGCGGTGAAACGGTTCACAAAGTCGTTCCGGTCAGGCATTTCTGTCAGACGTGGAAAGGGGAACAACATATATCAATCCAACGCTGCAACACGCTGAAGCCATAACCACGCACCAATACGATACTGTGAGGAGACGTAGATGGCGCGGTCGTATAGCGCCCCGGCCTTTGCACGGAGAGCGAGCGACGAGAAATCCTCGCTAGAATCGTCTACCGCGCCCCTTAGGAAGTCTTCCATCGAATAGTTTCCACCATGGCGTGGCACCAGCAGACCCTGCAGATAGTACAGATTCAGCAAATTGTCCTCCTAGATTGCCGCCGTAGTAGCGACCGCAATCATCGCCTCTCATACGTAACGTACCTGCTCATACGCCTCGCAAGAAAGGGGCCACGGCGTCGTCACTTGGATCACGGCTCTGCCGTTCTGGCAGATAGAGGAAGGCGTGTTCATCGCTGCAGCCCACACCGTGTCGACGTTCGCCACCGTCCAGAATGCTCGGATCTTCTCCCCTGCGGAGATCGGGTCACCGCCCAATGTGCGAATATCCAGCTGGTGGAATCGACTCCCAGTAGTGAGCGCGACCGCCGCAAGGCAGTGGTACCTGCCCTCCAACAAGCGACCGGTAGCGAAAAAGTAATTGGCGAGGAGGACCTCGGCTTGGATGGTGTGCAGGACCCCATTTCCCGGGGCTCCTGTCTGCGGCATCAATGTAGTCGTAGCGGCGGCCTGCGTAGCACGCTCCGCAAAGTACGTCTCTCGGTTCCGGAGCGTGTTCGAGCTCGACAGCCGGCTGCCCCAGAGGTGGACCGCGCTCATTAGCGGGTCGTTGGCGGGGCCGTGACTCTGGGTCCGATGCAGGAATCGGGTAGGGTTGAGGAAGAAGCCCAGCTGCGACGCATGCGTCATAAACGTCTGAATGCTGTCAACGGGGAGCGGGCAAGTCAGTACGGGGCCGAAAGGCTGAGCAGACCGGGGGCGGCCTTGTCTGAGGTTGATAGGTGTCACTCACAGCACTTGGACCTCCTGTAGCGTCGGCTCGGGTATGTGTGCTGCGGAGGCGGCCAGTGATGAGTTGTTGAGCGAGACTCGATGCAATACAGGGGAAGTTGCTCACCGGCAGGCTGTATCACTCCCACGGGATAGAGCGCAACGCTGGGTGCTGAGGCTGGTGTGCGGGTCTGGGATGGTGCAGCGGTGTGTCTGCGCGGGTCGTGGAGCTGAACGGAGGGCGTGCCCTCCGTGGGGTTCTCGAGCTCGCGGATTCTGGATTCGAGAAGAGCAATGTTCTCCTCGAGCAGACGAGACCGAGTGACCTCGGCACCAGTTGCATATTCGCAGTCGTCGGGTCTGTTGTTGGCAATGCATCGGCCACAAGCGGGCTTATTGCCGTCACATTTCTACAAGGCTCGTCAATAAGGAGCAACTCTGGCGAGACAATGAGCAAGGTCTACACACCGCCTTGAGCTTGCGACATGGCAAACAGGCGGCGCCCCTGTTCAATGGTCGACTAGCAGGAGTGGAAGAGGAGGACATATCAAGTCTGAGTGACCGTGTGGTGAGTATGTACAATTCGTGTGTACTGTGCGTTGATACTCACCGAGTTTGGGATCCATCTCTTATATAGCAGAGAAGAAGACAGGATGCTCGAAGACCTATGACGATTTATCATCAGTACACGCAGCGCTCCTTGGATTGCGGATTGTGTAAATGCCAAAATGGCACATATGGAAGTGCTCGCGTTGTCGCCTCACGAGCGCGTCAAGCGGGCACGGGTCTGGGCATACCAAGACTGTGCACCCGGGTCCCATGGTATCCGGCAGACATAACCATAACGGGAGATGTGTGTTAGAAACACGGACGAACAAGATGTAGGAAAGGTATGGATTAGTCACCTAGACGCGCTAGAGTCTGGCATCGGTAATCCGCCCCCGGGTTACGCAATGCATTGTAAGGTCGCAGAGGAGGTGAGACGGAACCGATGCGAGGATTAGGCATTCTCGGACACAAAAGCAGAGCAGCCAGGGGAGGGGTGTACAGCTTAGCTCACTGTCAAGAATTGCATCGCCGTACCGTAATCATCCGTAGCTCCTCCATGTAGCACGATCTCTGAGTATCTTGTGTAGTCCAGACGTGGTGCGTGCAATCATCCCGGGTCGCCTGAATATACTTGAAGCATATTCCGTCGGACATCTGCGTTGAAAGTTAGATGGAAGGGCAAGACGGTGTCGAGCAATGATCCGCCAATAATGCGATGATAACGCCGAGATAGTCAAATAGAGGAAATGGTTCTGCATCGCCTCAGGGTGTTGTCTATTCAGCACCCAGCTGCGCAGTCTCCGATTGAACGCGGGGGTTGAACAGATGTTGTAACCGGCTTGTCGGGCACAGTAAACTGAGCGAAAGCGGTTGTCGGACTCGGAGAGTTCAGCGCCGAGAGTGTACGGCACTTGCCGCACCTCGTCTCAAGTCATCGCCACCATGCGTCTCCGTCTGACTCGGACTCGGACTGCTCGCAATTACAGCTCCACCGCAAACTTCTGCATACCCGCTTCACACATCTTCGTGCAACCGTTTGCTCTCCTGACACATCCAACGTGGCCGGCCTGGGCACTGTACCTGCGGGTCCGATCTAGTCTAGGCGCGGTGAGTTATACGTCAGCGTGCCTCGATCAGGATTCGTAGCACCCATCCGCGCTTGTCAGCGCGTTTGAAGGGAGACAGCGAAACCACGTCGTTTCTCCCGACTCCATGCAGAGATCCCACCAAACCAGTACGACCGTTACTGGTATGATGTCCTTGCCCAACGTTGCACAAGTTGATGAACTTTAGTAACATTTGTGTGTGTAGCAACTGATAGCAAGCTCTTGAGAAAGAGCACGTCGTGCCGTCAGTGCCGCCCTGCTGTTTCTCTGCTCCAATAAATCAGACGCCAAAAGAGAGGTCATCGGGACACAAGTGGTGAGCTGGTGAGGTTCATAATTGCCATGGAAAGCGCGTTGAACGCATGATACTGACCAGTCATTATCGTACTTGGCGATCAGAGAATATTAGCATGGCTACTGTTCCTCTCGACAGCTTTTCGGACACTTGAAAGTGCGTCTGTGATCCACGTGAACATGGTGCGACATCACCCGATTGCCAGATCATACGAAGAGCCCACATTCACCGTGTTGTCGCCGAAGCAGACATCTTCGATCATCATCTAATTTTGACTTCACCTCCAACTCGGTGGCCGGGTCTCTCATTGCGTGAGGTGCATCCCCTCCTTCCCTTTTTTTCTACTCTTCTTTTGTGCTCCTGTCACCGCTTCACAGATGCATTCCATGTGCGCCGCCGGCTGTAGCCTCAATCTGATCATGCCCTACAGGGACTCACTACCTCGCGAGCTTGTCCGCCGTCGAGGTTCTGCAGACCAAGCCAACGGATACTAGCGATGAAGCATACTACAGATGTCAACGGCATGACGTTCTCCGAGCACGGCCATCTCTGCACTCCGATGCTGACTCTCAGTCCCACCTTGGCACGCGTCCGATGCCAGTGGTACTCGTTGTAAGATGTCGTTTGCCAGCCCGATCGTGCGGACACATGGCCGCAGCTCCATGCCTATATTGCCTCGCGGCACGCCCAGATGCCCGTCGTCGCGCACGAGACCACATGCACTATCACAATTAGAAGTCCAACATCTCCACCTGCGACTCCGCGATTCATCCAGCTTGGAACCGAAGAGACCCGAGACACGTGAAACCATCCCGTCAAAACGATTGGTGGTGCACGGGTGGCGATGCCGCAAGACCTACTTCCACCGGGATTTAATCGCGCGCGACGAGCGTTTCAGGCATCTCAGTCGACTTTCGCGGAGTTTGTGCGTTGTTCTCTGTTCGGCTAAGAGCGATACCGAAGCCGTATGCCGCCGGCTCCCCATGCGAGTTCCGCCACCCTCCACCACGGCCGTGCATTACATGGTTTCTCGCGCGGCAGGGGGCCTCACCTTTATGGCAGTCACCCCCGCTTGCAGCTTCGTCCCGTCTTCACTCACGACCCCGCACTTACCCAAAGGAATTCGTTGCACTTATCGAGGATGATCCTGACGAGAGTCGCTCGTTCGGTTCTACGTAATTCGTGGGTTCAGGTTTGTCCCAGATATTCTGAAACCACGACGGCAAGGACATCGCCGTTGCAATCTTTGCTGTTCATCTCCGTGCTCTCGCGCTCTGCGTCTCCAACATTCCGGCTTTGATCGCTAGGTCTAGGCTCACGGAACATAGGGGATAGCCTCAGAAGTCCTCATTGTGTCTGACTTGTACTACATAGCAAGTAACAGCTTGACAGGTGCCGTTCGCCACGCATCGAGCATAACGGTCGTGGCTTCAAGTCAGTGGCCCAGATAAAACGTTTTCACGACATCCTAGGGAACATTGACTTCACAGCGCCTCCACTCTGACTAGATTTAGCCATTGTAGCGTCCAAATATTTGACTTCTGGATGATACCGACATCTGTCGACCTCGGTGGTTCAGATCTTAAGCCAAGATATAGAATCCGAATCGCGAGTCCCTCCCACAATCCAGGCTCCTGAAGCGCTTTACCACAGCGACCACGCCATAATGACGCCCCTTACCTATGACCGCTCTCTGAGGTGTTACTGTTTTTCACTGGGAACATGTCTCAATCCAATTTTCAAGTCGACTTGCCCCGTACGTACAGCGGGCGTGCTCTGCATAGAAGCTCCAGTGAGTAGAGGCACCCTACTTCCTCAATGGCGTCCTGGGTGCGGTGACTGCATCCTTGACGGCCTCAAACCACTCGAAACGGATCTTTCCCCTGCTTCAAGAAGACGGGTAGCGCCGTCGGTCTCTCTTCTTTTTCATGATCATCCCAGGTGGACCCCGCATTGTGCTGTGTAGCCTCCCACATACCGTGCACCCTCGAACCTTGATGCAGACAACATTGACGGGATATTGGGTATTGTGACTAACGTAATTGATTTCCCGGTGCCCGACGGGCCTGCCGGAGAAGCATGGTCCGAGTAGTGGGTGCTTGTGTACGGTCGAACCATGTCCGACAAGCCTGAGGCCTGAGTTTCGTCTCGGTCACTGGCCGAGTCGCGTTGCTTCTATCCAGGCACTCTGTAACATGTACCTTATCAAAAACTGCTCGCAAGCTACCGGCATCAAGAATGCTGCGCCGCCTGCAACTGCGCATGCCACGTAGGCAAATTCTGCGGAAGCTGTTATGCGATCCGGACGGTTGGCGCATAATGATATATGATCATCGAGCGCCGCCACACGCCCTGAAGTTCTTAACGTGCTAAGCATCAGTACAACAGGCCGAACTGACCTCCTGCACTTCCCTCGATGGGATCTGTAGCACAAACTGGCGTTACGGCCTGCGGAGGACTTCGAGCAGAGCGAGCGAGTAGTATACCTCCGGACGCCCGCAAAGGAACAATGTTTCGAATAAGGCTGTTCAGTGCGAGATGATTCCAGCTTCCGTTATTGTGAGTCCTGAATCAATTATGAGTTAGATATCATACGAAGCTGGGACGAAATCCACATCCACATCTATGTCAGGCGGAATATGCATAATTGACGAAGTGGGGTGGGGATACACAAGCTGGGATTCGAAGTCTTTCTGAGCGATAGCCGAGACGCAACTGTTTGGCAGCAGTAGAGCCCGTCCCGCACAGTCTCGACCCCCGCAGACGCTGTCTAAAATCAGGCGCGCAGTGCGGAAACCAGCAGAGGCAATGCCGGCTCAGGTCCCTCCGACCCGACGCTGGGGTACTGCACCCCAGCGAAGTTCCACTTGATGGGCTTGCCGGTCGGCTCAAACTTGAAGTTCTGCAACAGGACGAGCAGCACGGTCTCTGCGGGGGTAAACGATCCAGTCAGCACCCTGACGGTCGTCCAGGAGGATCAAGACTAAGGCCGAGCGCGTTACGTACTCATTTCGATCTGTGCAAATTTGAATCCTCTACACAACACATTAAAACTGGTCCTGCCCTGTCCTCAGTACAAGGGGAAGGGCTTACATGCACGCCTTGCTACCGCCGATGAACGTCATGCTGTGATAGTCACGTGTCATATATTAGCACATGAAACTGCTTATAGGGCCGAGGGACTAGACCGACGCACAGGTGAGAGTATACGCCCGGTACGCGCGCCTCCTCTACAGCCCGCGGTAGGGGTTCGAGCCAGCGTTCAGGTCGCCACTCGTGCGCATCAGCTCCCCAGAGCGCTGGGTCGACGTTCGAAGCACCGATGTTCGGAACTACTCGCGTTCCCTTCGGAATGGGGATCGCGTCAGTGAGCGTCCCGTCCTTCAGACGGATCGGCTCCGACAGAGGCATTATGACATCCTTGGTTGTCCTGTGACACGAGGCACGGTCAGAGTCAGTACAAGTGAATGTTGCTTCTGGGCCGGCGCGTCATCGAATGGAAAATCCTCACTCTCGGAAGAGGCTGGTAACGCCAGGATATCTGGTGAGATCCACGTGTCACAAGATAAGTGTACACGTCGGAGGAGGATGCGCAACGATGGCGCTAGCACTCACAACCGCAGGGTTTCGCGGCAGACCGCCTCAAGGTAGGGAAGCTCCATGATCTTCTCGTAGTCGAGCGTCCCGTCTTGTCCCTCAGTCTCGATCGCATGCAGGATTTCCTGCCGGAGCTTCTCTTGAACGTCCTGGCGTTCGGCGAGGATCTGAAGAGCGCGCGCCAGCGAGTTTGCAGTTGTGTCCATCCCAGCGAGCACCATCGTCCTGAAGAAACGCTCAGTGGACCCAGCCTAGGCCATATACTCGTCACAGCGGGGAAAGGACTCACGATATCTGCCCTATGAGCTCATCATCCGGGAGCTTATCCTCCGCCTTAGCAAGCATGTTCTCCCGCACTACAGGACCCTCGATTACAATGCGGGACAGACACGGGGACGCGTGTGGGGCATGTGCACTCACGCAGGATGCTCATGATGTCACGTCCTTCGCCGATCTGATGCTTAAGCGTCTCATCCCCCTTCTCCAGAGCCTCCTTTTTCTCGTTGAATATCCTTATAGACCGCCCGTGCATGATGTCTGATATCCGCTTCAGCTGCTGAACGTTGTCGTTCGGGATCCTCTCAACGACCCAGCGCCGGAAAGGTGCGGAGCCGACGTTGGCCACGCCCCTCATCAGCAGGCGTAAAACCAAAGATCGGGCCATTTGTGGGCTACTCTCCAGTCAACATCAAACTGCGGACCTGACACAAATGACAGGACCCACAAGAAGTCCTTGACGGCATCCGCAAACTCGTCCGGTCGGTCCTCCGTGAGAGGGTCAAATGAGTGGCCTAAACCAGCCTGACCCAACACTTCGAGCGTCGTGCGGCCGCTCCAAGAGAGCATGTCGAGTTCAACGCCACCCTTAGCTCCGGCGCCGGCACGCACGCGCTCCATAATCGCATCACGAGTCTGTAGACGCCGCACGAAAAGAATGTCGGTCAGCGCCTTTGTGCGAGGCGGCCTCGAGTCTCTAGCATGCGGAGGAGATGTACCTTGTGGATGACCTGATAAAACAAGGGCGTCATGTCGCGAAGATGCTTCACAGAGAACACAGGATTGAGCGTCTTGCGCTGTCGCTTGTGCTGCTCGCCTACACAAGATAGGATCGGTGGTCAGTAGCGGACCTAAAGGAAAGTATATGGTGAACAGTGCTCCCCCACCTTCCGTGCCGAGAAGACCAGGGCCGAGCATCATACGCAAAGCACTTTCGTTTCAAAACGAATCGGTAATGGTGAGTCATTGGGCTTACGTGCATTCGCGGCTAGAAGAGGACGTACAACACGGGTTCTGCATAGATATCTTGCTCTTTGAGGAAGATGTTTTGCATGGCCTTCACATCCCAGACCGTGATCCATTTCGATTGCTAGCGATTGAGAGTATGAACGCCTCAAAATATGCATCCATCCTTATCCAGTCGACGTACCCCAGGCATTCCATGGAGAGCGGCCACGCGTGGATACTTGCGGGCGAGTTCAGCCCGGAAGTCCCAGGCATCTTGGGCGAAATACTGCGCTAGATTACCTGTCTGAATGTGAGACGCGTACAGATTGAGTTCTCACATATCGTGGGACGTACCACTCAGCCATGAATTCCGAGGAGGACCGGGAATGTTATCCAGTGGGGACTTGACAACGAACGGCTTTAGGATGAGCCATGAAACATAGAGAACTGCAGCGGCGAGTGCTGCTTGAGGCGCGCTTGTAAGGAGCGCCATGATGCTGGATCAGAGTCGAAGGTTGGCAGTGGTGGACGAAAAGAGAGATGAGAAAGGGGAGATGAAGGCGTCTCGGAGGCGGTTTGATGCATAATAAGAAGGTGGCAGGAGATGCCGATACCGGGTTCACGAGTCCTCGTATTCAGCCGGCATTCGGTGCGCAGCTCTTCCTATACAGCAATTGGGAGCCAGCCCAAGGCAGGCTCGTCACCATTGGAGACTGGCATGGCTGACGATGATAGGCGATCGTCATCAATCCGCTCGCCGCGCTCGTTACGCATAAGTAGGCGGCCGGAGGCCAAACTTCGGAGTATGAGTGGGTCCTCTATCCCACGTCCATGAGAATATTGCGGTTCAGGATCTATGTAGACAGACAAACTCGCAGCGGTCAGTGTATGACGGAACAGAGATACTACTGTATGTATGCCCGAGGTGGCGCTGGTTGGTCCTCGGGAAGCACAGCCATCATCTACCCGGTTTGTTTCACGGGCCGGCGCTCCCGACCGATGAGATCCGCACCCGTACAATGAGCCGCCCGGTATCGATACCCTCTTCCTCATCATGCCGCTGTCAGGTAGTCTATGTACATTGTCTCATAGAACTACCCATCTCTCAACCAGATGTCTAACCTTTGGTTTGTGCTACACATGAGAGAAGTGCATAAGCTCATTCATCGCGAAACGTACAGACGCCGCGTCTTCAGGACGTACAACGCTAGCTGCTGCAAGCAACACGCGGGAGCGCACCGTTTTGATAAGGGTCACTTTAGGTGTGCGACTGTCAGCTATAGATGAGATGGGCCTTGAAAAACTGGTGCGGCAGCCAAAAGAGCTCGTACCCGGATCCCGATTGTGAGGTGCTCACCATCCAACGATCTACACTCGTTCCTACAACGCCTCTGGTGAGCTGTGTACGAACCCGGACATTTTTGCCCCCCTCTGACCCGCACTTCTCAGCTACAGTGGGGCCGAATATCGACCGAAGGCAGGATGGCGACTCACCGTATTCCAAGTGAGTGTCAAAGGCTCGACCGAGAATGGATCAGTTCCTGACGTGTCATTGAAGCTATCAACGCTCAAAGGACGTGAAAAACCCACGGTTCGCACAAGGTACCTGATCCTTCCTTTTTTTTCCTTCCTATGCGACTCTCATGAGGTCTTCCCTACTTTTACTAGCTTGCCTCTTCCTTGCGGTGGTCGTCTTGGTGCGGGCGCAGAGGAGGAGGAAAGGAAACCTTCCTCCTGGTCCTGAACCTTGGCCTTTGATTGGCAACATCTTTGACCTGACGTCAAAAGAACTTTGGGTCAGAGCGTCCGACTGGGCAAGTAAATGGGGTACGCGCTGCCGATATGCCTGATACTACCTCTGAGCTGATGTTCAAACTCAACAGGTGACGTCGTTTACCTCCACGTCTTCGGCCAAGGCCTGCTCTTCCTCAACTCCTACGAAGCAGCGACGGACCTCTTTGAGCGTAAAGGGGCGCTGTACTCCGATAAGCCGCAGCTTGTCATGTGCAATGAGTTGTCCGTATCTGCGCAGCCTGCGCTCCATGCCTGCAGAGAATTTCAGTTACTGATACGTAGTGATTGACAGGTGCGGATGCGAAAACATTGTGCGTGCTTAAGGTTGCGCCGCACTTGAGCCGCTCTGACGTTGATGCGCCCTCGATCCGTCTGCCACCTGCAGACTGCGTTCACAGGCTATAGCGACAAGTTCCGCCGCCAGCGGCGTCTCATGACGAAAGTCCTCGGGCCGAGCGCTATCCCTTCTTATTACCCGCTACTTGAGCTTGAGACTCAGGTGTTGCTAAGACGCATCCTAGAGACTCCTAAAGGCTACTCGGCTCACATCAGAAGGTATAGCCTTCCGTTCTTGAATAATACCTGCCTAGCTACCTGTACTCAGAGCCGGATATTTCAGATACGCCGGCTCCCTGACGCTCCGCATCGTCTACGGCTACCGCGTGACCGCAAACGACGACTTTTATTTAAAACTTGCCGAGGAGTGTGGAGATATTTTGTCAAATGGTATCGCAGGCGGAGGGTTCATTTGGCTTGTCGACGTATTTCCCTTCTGTGAGTCATGCACCCTCCCTTACTTGTCCCCTTCGGAGGTACTGAACCCTGGTGGTGTCGAGTCTAGTGAAATATCTTCCTACGTGGTTTCCGGGGGCCGGCTTCAAGCGCAAAGCTAGCAAATGGAAAGCTAAGATTGAAGAGTTTGTGAACAAGCCGTTTGATATGGTGGTAGCACGCATGGTCGGTATTTTTGCGCCGATCTATAGCTAGGCGCAGTTTCCGAGATGCTTGTTCCACAGAAGGATGGCACGGCCACGCATTGCTCCATCACTACCCTGATCGAGACATCCGAGGACGACAATATGACTGACGCCGAAACGGACACGGATGCGAGGTGGACTAGTATGTCGATGTACTTGGGTGAGCCGCCAATTGTTACACCCAATTTTACCAACGCAACTCAAGCGCTACATAACATCACCTTAGGTAGTCTTGACACGGTGAGTAGTACCCGCTCACGTTCTTTGGGAAGAGATACCAGCTTGATCTATACCTCCGTAAACTATCACCGCCGTCCTATCGTTCCTCCAAAACATGATGTTTCATCCGGAGGTTGCAGCCAAGGCCCAGAAAGAGATCGACTCGATTGTCGGACCGGGTCGTCTGCCTACATTTGCAGATCGTCTAGATCTACCATACATTGAAGCAGTCTTCAACGAGATCCTCCGTTGGAGCACTCCCGTTCCTCTTGGTGAGTCACTTGTTACGGTCCCTGGACTCAAGTCGCCTTGGGTATAGGCTTTCCCCGCTCCCCTCCAACCACAATTCATCTGCAGGACTTCCGCATCGGTTGATGGAAGACGATATGTATAGGGGCATGTACATTCCACGAGGCACGCTAGTCTTCGGGAACAATTCGGAGTTGCACTATCACGGACCAGGCCCCGAACCATCATACAAAACTCCCTGTCATGCAACGCTCCCCTCTATGCAGGCACATGAGCCGCAATCCTGCACTTTTCCTGATCCAGACGCCTTCAAGCCTGAGCGCTATCTGGATAAGGTGGACGATGCAACAGCTATAAAGATGGATCCTCGGACCTTTGTCTTCGGCTTCGGTAGGAGGTGGGCTGACATTCCACGGAGTCTACTTTCCATCGAGGCCCGAACTCTGACTCCGGCTACATGGCCCCCACAGAGGCTGCCCGGGTTCGAACCTCGTTGAATCTTCGCTGTGGATCGTGGTCGCATCCTTCCTCGCGACCTTCGACATCAAGAAGGCTACCGACGAGAACGGCCAGATCATAGAACCTGCAATTGTGTACGACGATGCGGTCTTCCGGTACGGCCTTTCTGGGTTCTCCACAAAGCTCATCTGACGCCGTTGGACACCTGTTTCACAGAAAGCCGAATGATTTTCCATGTAGCATTCAGCCGAGGTCGGCCAGCGCAGCCGCGCTCGTTGAACAGGTTTCCGCGCTAGCCTCTGTTTGATGTCTTCGTCGAAGGTTACCGAGACTCTTGGATCATCGTCGCGTAGAACCCGACTAAGGCTTCTAGTACCCGCATACCCCACCAACATGTCTGGCCACAAGCATGACTACCCTGTAGTCGATGACATTCGAGTCATTGTAACCCCCTCTTGACTCAATCTATTCCTGACAAACGTTGCTAGTTGATATTTTGTGACGATCTCCGGCTCATACTGCACGAACTTGACGATTACGTAATCATCGGGAGATCTCGAGCGGCCCTGGGATTATTGTGTGACCTGCTTACCCCATGCCCACCAAGCCTCGGCGATGATTCAATGCTGCCCGATCTTTCTCAGCAACGAATGTACATCGCTCCTCACTTATGCACACACCACAATCCGACTTCTCATTCCAGTAGTTATGCCGGGAGCTGTGTTGCGGAGAACACACAGTGTGTCCCTGATTATCACTCGTGTGTCCACAAAGACATCCAAATCTCGACCCTTTCCCTCGCGCTTTCGGCCACTTGCGGGAAGCATGTAAGATAGGCGCTTAACAAGTGCGCAGGTTTCAGGTGCAAACGTACACTGGTCGTCTTCGCTGAATTGCAATTGGACTCATCTGGTGTACACATTGCCCGTCGATGTGCGGCGATTGCGTTTGATCGCATCGGTTTCTATTCGGTGGCTGCAATACTGGACGGATATAAATAAGGACCCTCGCCCATTGGGGATGCTCGCCCCTGTGCATCCAAAGACCCTTCTGCCTCATCTTTAGCCCTAACAAGACAGTCTTCAAGCATGTCCGCCATTGTACCCCCATTTACTGCTGAGACTGCGCAGAAGAAGGTCAAGGTGGCGCAAGATCTGTGGAATACGAAGGACCCCCAGAAGGTTTCCTTGGCATACAAGGTACGATCTTTATTTCGATACCCCTAATGGCCTCATTCAGCGGAAACTGAAACGCACTTGCAACCACGCGCAGCCTGACACTATCTGGCGCAACCGCGACCAGTTCATGAAGGGGCGCGAGGAAGTCGTCCAGTTCCTGACGAAGAAGTGGGAGAAGGAAAACGGCTACAGGCTCCGCAAGGAGCTGTTCGCCTTCACAGACAACAAGATCGCAGTCCAGGTTAGTACTTGCGACATGTGCGAGCTCGAGATGCTCACTGCGTTTCTTTCCTGCTTATAGTTCTTCTACGAATGGTATGAGACCAAGCCCGATGGTACCAAACAGTGGTACCGATGCTACGGATTGGAGGTGGGTCGTCCTTAGACAACGGCTTCGACATAGGCGTAACTAACGATATGTATCGCCAGGACTGGACGTTCGATATCGACGGTCTCATGAAGAAGCGGCAAATGAGCGGCAACGACGTGCCGATCACTGAAGAAGAACGCTGGTTCAAGGACGGGGTGGACGGGGTAGACGTGAACTCGTTCCCCATCTCGGACAAGCACCTCTGAATGTGAGCGTTCACCTCGTTGTTAAGGATATAAGACCCCTCACATGTTTTGCAGCTGCAGTACATTAGCAGAACATTTGTAGGATAAGATCCGTAGTCCAGTCTAACAGTAGTCCAATGTCGTGCGTAGCTCCCCACCGTGGACCCCAGCGCATCTACCCCCATGTAATATGAAGCATGGCGAAACTGTACGAACATCGTCATAGGGAGTGGCGAAGGAGAGCCGGGATCAGCTTCACATGATGGTCCATCTCGTGTGGGGTCACTAAGCGGGAGAGTACTTACAACATTTGGAATGTCGTGGCTTGCGCGTACCTATCGCCACAAGATTCGCACTCTAAGTTCATCCTCAAGCTGACTCGACCATCGCGGCCCGCAGTGCATGAGCACGCATACATGTACATCCTCGAAAAGTGTTTCAGACACGCCATGCATATACGCGTCGAATTTGGACGCCGAATATGACGGGTCAACTTATACGGCTCTCATGGTGCGGTCGTGTAGGTGAACGTCCGAATATATAGCGAGCGATGCGAGACACATAGTAGTGAGTACAGAGGAGTTACACGTACTGGTTGCACAACAGGAACAACGACAACGGATAATCATGTACACATAGGCGGCGACAGACGACAGACGACGGACAACGACAATAGACGTGGTTAGATGATAACTGGGCGGAGGGACGTAACCGTGCAGCGTAGACCGAAGATATGATATGTGTACATCTTCCAACAAAACGATGAGATGATAGAAGGGGATGCCCGCCAAGTGCAGGACAACGAACGAACCGCCACCGGTCAAACGAATCTTCCTCCTCGTGAGTAGTAACATACACGAAAACCAACGATACTTCACATGAACAACAGTCCGAGATCTTCTCATCTTCCGGAGCCAACACGGCAGATGGACCCTAGCGATCACACCTACATCTCCATCTCCATCTCTATCCCGTCCCACTCCTCTTCGATCTTCGCAGGCGCAGGCTGGCCCTTCCACCCCCTCGAGATGAACCCCCCGAACCGGCCCGCGCCCGCGCCCTCCCCGTCCTCGCTCACGCCCACGGCATCGACGTCGACGAACTCACCCTCAGGCCGCTCAGGTCCATCCATATCGACGCTCCCGCTGTGGCTGCGGCTGAGCGACCCCGAGCGCACCGACGAGCGCGGCAAGCTCCAGCCCCCCGCCCCATCGGAGAACGAGTGCCCGACCCCAGACGCGGAGTACGACGCCGAGAACGACGCGGACACGGAATCGACCGACGAGCGGAACGACGACTGCGCGAAGCCGACTGAGACCGGGGAGCTCCACGCGTCCGAGACGGACGCGCCGCTCACGAAGCTGTACGCTCCTCCGTCGCCGTTGCGACCGTGAGGCTCGCGGTAGGCATCCCGAGCGGATGCAGGCACAGGGACGGGGGCGGAGCGGTGTGCGGCCGGGGGATAGGCGTGGGTGCCGTTGCTCGGGGTACTGCGGCCGGGAGTCAGCGCACGAACATCCAACTGAGCGTGCGCCGTGGGCGGATGCTGGAATGCGTGGGTGCTCGTTGGGACGCCGACGACGCCGGGGCGGACGTGCGTGAACCCACCTGACGATGGGACCGCATAATCGTGCATACGCGGACCTGCCGACGGGGAGCGCCCGGTGTTCGTCGCGGCGCCTACATTGGAGCCAAGGCCTGACGCGGACGAAGACCTCGTCGACAGGAAGGACGGCACAGGAACCGAGCTCGACGTCGGGTACGTAATGGGCTGATCGAGCGACGTGGAGACGGAGGAAGCATGAGCCTTCGAGGAATACTTCGTATCCTGGACAATGTTGGCCTGATCCGGAGGCGGAAGAAGCCCACCAGAGAGGAAGGATGGCCACAAAGAACGATCCTCTGGAAGGGATGTCCCGCCAGACGCAGAGGGCGCGAGATGTGATAGAATAGCAGCCGCCTGTGATACGCGTAAGCGAGGAGTAGCGTGCGATGCGATCTGCGATGACGATGCTCACCTCCAGCAATTGCACTTGTTGATGTTTGCTCAGCAGGAACTTGGATGCTTCACGCCAATGTGGAGAGTGCTCCCATCTGTGCTTGATTAGGCACGAAGGGTGTCGGTATACCTGATAGATTGGAGATTAGACTCGAACGATCCTCCTATATAATAGAGGCGCCCGAAACCGACACAACTGCAAACACATCCTTCGCAGAACACAAACACAAGGCGATAGACATATGCATAGTTTCGGGTGATGCCCGTGATGCTACTAACCTTGGAGCAACTCTCACACTTGAAGATTGTACCTCTCTTCTTCCCAGACTTGGTCACACTGATCCCAGCGCCATTGATCTCCGTCTTGGCCGGAGCAGCCGCCGAAGAGTCGTCCGGTATGATGTCGTCCTTGACCTCAATCTTCGGCATCATGGTGGCCGATGACGGAGTCAGCTGTCCGCTGGCAGAGGCGAAAGAAGTTGCGGATTGGGGTATGCTTTGGGGAGGGGGAGAGCCCGCCAGAGACAGGTTTGCCAAAGATGACAGTGCCGCAGCAGCGGTCTGGAGCATCACTGGCCTACGAAAGAGATATTGGATTCTAAGAGAGAGGACGAGACAGAAACAACGCACGAAGGTCGGCTTGTTGCCTCCCGTGCATCACTCAACCTCCTCCGAGTTTGACCCGTGGATGAGAGGCGGCGGTGTTTCATGGCGCTGTGAACCTTGCTAGTGCTCCCGACACTCACACCCAAGCTGTTGGCACCCTTGAGGCTTCCGGGAGCAAATCCACCATCAACGGAGGATTCTCGAGGGGTGGGAATGGGTGAAGATATGGTCGCCGCCTCGACGAGGGAGAAGAGGCCTTGGCCCTCAGTGGTGCCCGTCTGCGCGTGCAGATTGAGCATTGATTAGTCTATGGGAGCTAGAGAAGAGATTACGTTACAGACCATGGCTGTACTGTCTGAGACGCCACCCATAATCAAGGAGTAATGAGACAGGGAACGAGAGTAGCGGTAAGACGTGGCCAGGATATGCGAACGTAGGAAGAAAGGGAGTCACGGGCGGGCGACATGCGTTGTGGACGCTGATGAGAGGTTCTCACATTGGGCGGTCAGCGACGAGCAGCCATGGTGGGTGTCGAGGACGATGAGGAGAGACAGGGAGAAGCAGTCCAGACAAGAGCGACCACGGCCACAGACGTTCAAAAGTCCGCCCAAATTCAATACCGTGCCATTTCGGGAAATCTCCCGCCCTCCGCCCGGTACACGCTCTAATCCTTGCCGGCGGGACACGCGCGCCTGAGCGGTCTCCGGGGCATTGCTCGGCGAAATAGGCCGAGGCCGTCCGAAAGGCAGGAGTCAGCGACATGACCCCACCGCGGTCCGAGTGAGCGTCTGATGTGGGATGATGGGCGCCTATGGGCAACGCACCACGCTCTCGACCACGTCACCGGCATTTCTGACTCGAAATGTGCTGCCCTTGATTGGAGGACTCGGAGAACAGGCCACTGCGGGACTGAATCATAAGCGAGAAGTCCCTACATCCGGGAGCAACGAACGATAGAGACGAGCAGCGTTCTGTCTCTGAATACAATCTGAATGGACTGTGCAGTGATGCCGCCACGGAGCAATACGTCAGTCGCATTAATCTGTATGAGAAGAACACGCACACGCCGCCGCCCTATATAGCCTTCGCAGCCATTGATGCAGCCATGCCGGCTGTCCTCGTCCTCGCTCCTTGACTCCTCGGATTACCTGGCCTTCCGCTGTTCTCTCCTCGATGTGGAATCCGTTCCGCCGTCCGCCGGCGCCGCCGGCGTTTGGTCAAGGGGAGGTCATCCCAGAGAGTCGAGCGTCGTGAGTACGCAGTCTTCTTACTTTCTCCTTTTCGGCAATACTTTGAGCCACCGGGCGTATAGCCACGTAATGGGTCGTATGCTGTGTCCGAGCGATCTTCGTCCCTTCTATCATTTATCTGTAGTCTACTGAAGCTTAACTATACTATATCTGTTCTCAGGCCTCTTTCAAGGCTGTTCTTCTCGTGGTTGGATCCCTTCCTCTCCGTTGGATTTTCTAGGCCGTTAGAGAAAGACGGTACGTAATGACATAAACTTGCCATCGTACTTTGCGTCTTCTGACAGCTGTATGTCTTTCAGACTTTTGGTCCTTGCCCGAGCATCGTCTAACGCATCCTCTCACTCAGCGTGTAGAGAAGGCGTTTTATAGCCGTTGCCCTCCAGAATCTAGACCACCTTTCCTCTTTGAAGACGGCGAGAAGCTCTCTTCTACACGCACCCGCGAAGTGCCAGACGATGATGTTTCTCGCGTCTCGTCCAAGGATTCCAAGAAACCGCGGAAGGAAGAGACCAAGGAAGATGTCGAAGCCATAGCTGGCAGTGACTCCGAGAAACCACATGCGGAGACGAAACCTAACACGGGCAAAGGGAAGGAGCCCGAGTACGATTCATCCTTGCTCAAGGCTCTCCACAGCGTTTTCTGGGTTCAGTTCTGGTTGTCTGGCCTACTGAAGCTTGTATCTGGTACGCATTTCGCTGAAGTCATGCCTGAGCGCTTGAGTTGACGCTCGTTATCAAGACACGCTCAACACGACCACGCCCCTCGTCAATCAGGTCCTTCTGACCTGGCTGACTAACTCTTACATCTACTTCCGTGCAAGTGAGGAGGAGCGCGCTGCGCTTGGCCTACAGAAGCCTCAGGGCATCGGCTACGGTATCGGCCTCGCCTTCGCCGTTTTTGCTATGCAAGGTACGCATTTATTCACTGCCCAATTCGACTGTCTCGAGACCTGAATCATCTCAGAGGTATCTAGCCTGGTGCGTCCATCTGTACCCATCCAAGAGAATTCTCTGAAATATCTGCGGGGTAGACGGGGAACCACTACTACATCAGTACGTTTCCCAACTCACAGACAGCTTGAAGTTCTGTCTTGACTGCTTTCCGCAGCGGCCATGACAAACGGCCTGTCAATGCGTACAAGTGTAGGTTCACTTGCTATATACGTGACGAAGTCGGCTCAATGACCGCTGTGCAGCTGATCGGGGCGATCTTCCGCAAGTCGCTGCGACTGAGCGGTCGTGCGCGGCTTGATCACAGCGTGGGCAAGATTACAACGATGATATCCGCCGATACTGTCAGGCTGGAGCGCAACACATACACTGTCCACAAGTGGGCCTCCCATCTCAATCTTCACTACGGCTTAATACTGATTACATTCACTTAGCTTGTGGGTTGCGCCCGTCCAGGTACGCCTATTTTCCTCTGGCAGTTCGTGAATATATCCCTGACGATTTATTTGCAGATCGCCCTCGGGATAGGTCTCCTCATCCGTAACGTATGTAACGCCCCTCATCATTCATGCATGAGGCGTGCTCTATCTGAAACGTAATCAGTTGGGAGTGTACGCTTTGGTTGGGTTGGCGGTAGGTTGTTTCAGCAAACTCATCATGTGACGAGCTCAACATCCCTCACTCAGGTCCTCCTGATGGGCGGCCCCATCGAGTTCATGCTCGCCAAGGTCATGTTCACGCAGCGCAAGAAGGGCGTGGTCCTTACGGATCAGCGAGTGCGCATGACAAGCGAGGTACGCCCGGCGTCCGAGTCATCTACTCAAGCGGCCATCCTACCGCAGTATGTCTGACCGACTATGGCGTAATCGCAGGTACTGTCGGGCATCCGGCTTATCAAGTACTACGCCTGGGAGACCTTCTACGCCCACCAAGTGAGCAGCCTTCGGGAACGCGAAGTCCGCACGATCCGCCGTCTGGCGTAAGTCGTAGCTTGCTACAAACTCCTGTCGACGTCATCATAAGCTAGATGTATTGATCGCCTGCTGCTATAGAACCGCGCGAGCGCTGCTCATCGGAAACGTCACCGTCATCCCCATCCTTGCCACCGTCTTATCCATCGTACGAATCCCATTCCGCGTAATGTTCACCCAAGCCGGCCTGCTGACCGTCGTATCTCATAATAGGTTACCTACGCGCTTACGAAACACTCTCTCAACGTTGCCATCATCTTCAGCTCCGTCCAGTACTTCGGTGTAAGCCCCGCTTCTTCTCGTAGCTCGTATTCCCAGGACAGCTTATCCAATCACCGTTATCTCGCAGATCATCCGCATGCCGCTCGTCTTTCTCCCCATCGTGCTCGCCTCCGCGACAGACGCGCTCGTCGCGCTCCGCCGCATCGGCACGTTCTTGCGCGCGGAGGAGCTCGCGGTGCCGTACGAGATCGACGCGAACGCCGAGGCCGCGATCGACCTCGATGGCGACTTTACGTGGGAGACGGTGCGCAAGGACGCGAACGCCGTCAACCTCGCCGCGAAGTTCGACAGGGACAAAAAGGGCAGGGGCCGCAGGGAGAAGGGCGCGGGGAAGAAGGGAGGGAAGAAGGGGAATGAGTCGCTCTTGCCCACTGCTGCGAACACTCCGGCGGGAGCTTCTGGCCCTGTGCGCTCTGCGGAGGGTGGCAGCGAAGGGAAGGACAAGGAGAAGGAGGACAAGCCGTTTGAGTTGAAGGACGTCAATCTGAAGATCCCCAGAGGGTCATTCGTGGCTATCGTCGGCCGGGTCGGCTCTGGCAAGGTGCGGATATGCTGCCTTACGTTGAATCCGCCTCCAGCTCACATTCACCAAACAAGAGCTCCTTGCTTCAAGCGCTTATCGGGGAGATGAGGAAGACGCGCGGACAGGTGCGACTTTCCACGGACATATTCCTCCCTAGTATGTGCCACTGACATGCATTCGCATGCAGTGCACCTTCTCGTCCACCGCCGCGTACGTGCCGCAGAACGCCTGGATTATGAACGCGACGCTCCGAGAGAACGTCCTGTTCGGCCAGCCCGAAGACGAGGCGCGCTTTCGCGAGATCGTCCAAGCATGCTGCCTCGAGCCTGACCTCGAGATGCTTCCTAACGGCGAGGATACCGAGATCGGCGAGAAGGGCATCAACTTGTCAGGCGGGCAAAAGGCTCGCGTATCCCTCGCGCGTGCTGCGTACTCGGGCGCGGACATCGTGCTCATGGACGACTCGCTCAGCGCAGTGGACTCGCACGTTGGGAAGAGGCTGCTCGACAACTGTTTGCTCCGCGGTCCGCTCGCAGACAAGACGCGTGTGCTGGTGACTCATGCGTTACATGTGCTGGACAAGACGGATTACATTTATGTTATGGATGAGGGCGTCATTGTTGAAGAGGGATCGTACGCTGTACGTGCTGTCACTCTTCGACATAGGATTTCTTCCTGACAGCCTGAACTTAGGAGCTGATGAAGCGAGGCGACATGTTCGCGCGACTCATGGAGGAGTACGGCAGCCAGGAGGAGGATAAGAGAGATGACGCTACTGCGAGCAAGAAGGCCGACGATGTCGCAGCTCCTGCCGAAGCCAAGAAGGCTACCCAGAAGCTCATGCAGGAAGAAGAGCGTCTTACAGGAGCTGTCACCTGGTCTGTATACTCGAAGTACATCAAGTATGCAGGTGGTTGGCCCGTCCTTCCGCTCTTCCTTCTGGCCGTGCTTGCGCAGTGTGCTCAAGGTAAGTTCTATCTGATTGGGATATCTTTGACTACATTGTCCTGATTATTGCGTAGTGGCAAATACGCTGTTCCTTGGCTTCTGGACGTCGTCAAGTATCCCCGGCTTCAGCCAGGGCGACTACATGGGCACTTATGCCGCATTGGGTGTCAGCAGCGGCTTGTTCGCTTTTGCTCTCAGTTGGAATATGAGGCAAGTTGATCGGACGCGTATACGACATCATGGCCAGTCTGACCTTTTCTCAGTATGTTGAGCTTGACGGCCGGGCTGAGAATGTTCAAGAAAGCCTTCTTGGGTGTCCTGCGGTCTCCGGTCTCATTTTTCGATACCACACCGTTAGGTAGGACAAAACTTTCCGAGGAACTGCTACGGCGCTGATCGTCTTCAAGGCCGCATCATGTCTCGGCTGTCGAAGGACCAGGACGTCATTGACACCGAGTTGGCCCTGATCGCTTTTCAAGTGCTAACCACTGCCAGGTTCGTTGTCGCACGTGTTTTGTTCCATTGTTCGCGGCTGACCAATAACTGTCCGAAGCTCTGTCCTTGGTACGGCAGCTCTTGTGTTCTATACGTTTCCATATCTTGGCATCATCTTTGCGCCCATGATCATCTTGTACTACATCGCAGCCAACTACTATCGCCGTACTTCGGTGGAGGTGAAGCGTTTAGATTCCAACCTCCGCTCCATTCTCTATGCATCGTATTCTGGTAAGCCCTTATCGAAAATGTTACAGATGTGGTAGGGCTGATTCGCCTCAGAAACCCTCACTGGTCTGAGCACTGTCCGTGCGTATCGCTCACAAGACCGTTTCGTGCGGAACGCGGAGCAGGGCCAGGATGTGGAGAACAGAGCATACTACATGACAATTGCGATCCAGCGGTGGCTGGGAGTCCGTCTCGACATCCTGGGGAACATCCTCATACTGGGAATCTGTCTATTCGCTGCTGGTTTTAGGCACACCGTCGATCCCAGCAAGATCGGTGTAGTGCTGACATACACCCTGACCAGTACGTATCCCTGTCCATGTTTACTAAATTGTTTGCCTGATCGTATGCAATGCATCAGTCACTCAATCGTTCTGTAAGTTTTCGCGAAATAGATGGTACTTTGCTGGAGCCCTAACTCTCACTAGCAACGCTGGTGACCAACTACGCGCAGAACGAACAGAACTTCAACGCCGTTGAGCGTATTCTTTATTACTCTGAGCTCCCCAGTGAAGGCGCGTCCACCACTCCTAATGATCCCCCGCCGTCGTGGCCCGAGAGCGGTGCGATCGAGTTCAAGGATGTCGAGATGTCGTACCGCCCAGGATTGCCTCCGGTGCTCAAAGGTGTCAGCTTCCAGATCAACCCTAGCGAGAAGGTATGCTCTGTATCCTGTCGTCGTCAATGTAACGCAAGTGTCAACTTCGTTCTATCAGATTGGCATCGTGGGTAGGACCGGAGCCGGGAAGAGTTCTCTCCTCCAGGCGCTCTTCCGGGTCGTGAACCTTGATTCCGGCACCATCGAGATCGACGGCAGGAACATCGCTGAGATGGGCCTGCAGCCGCTTCGAGAACGCTTGGCTCTGGTGCCCCAGGACAGCCTTCTGTTCAGGGGCACCGTGCGAGAGAACCTGTGAGCAACATCGTCTTGCACGAGTCGGCGGAAACGCTTTGCTCATAGCGATCCGACAGGGACCCTCTCAACACCAGGACCGACGCGGAAATACTGGATGCCCTCAGGCGTGCCTGGTTACTTCCCAAAGACGGACCTATCGATCCTGTCGCAGAAGCGAAGTTCAGTCTGAACTCCCAAGTCAACGACGAAGGTATACGCTTATGAATAATAGCTCCTCTGGCGTGTGTTGACCGCATGTATGTAGGCTCAAACTACAGTGCGGGAGAGAAGCAGCTGCTCGCGCTTTGCCGTGCCCTAGTCAAGAACAGTCGTATCATTGTCTTAGTATGTGCGCTCCGATCGTAGGTACCGATCCTGCTCATAACATCCCAATTCCGCAGGACGAGGCGACAAGCAGTGTGGACGTCGAGACGGACGCGAAGGTCCAGCGGACCATCCAGAGCGAGTTCACATCCTCGACTCTGCTGTGCATCGCTCACCGTCTGAACACTATCGGTATGTCGCTGCACTCCCGTGATGCGATAGCACACGCTCACTCCACGAACAGTCTACTACGACCGCATCCTCGTCATGGACCAGGGCAAGGTCGCCGAGTTCGACTCGCCTCTGAACCTGTACGACAGGGAGGGCTCGATCTTCCGCTCGCTCTGCGACGAGGCGAACCTGTCGAGGCAGGACATTGTCAGGATCCGCTCCAGCGTCCAGGGACAGATTTCCGTGCCAGCCTCTACTGCCGCATCAGTCGCGCACCAGTCAACGGACTAGACATACGCTGCATAGATCACATACACACACACATACTTACTGTTTGCCATTCAAGCTCTTCCCAACTCAGCGATCGCTTTCGTTACGGTACCGGAATTGGACCCTCACGACATACGCTATCTTGGTTCAGGCGACCCGCCCTCGCGAACTCTCCGATAGCACGCAATCCAACGAACCCCACTCATGACAGAACTCCCCATCACTGATCACACGTCCGAGTGCAGCAACACGAGAGCGATCGATTGCAGAAAAGTGCGAGATTGAGCGCAATAAAAAGAGCTGAAGCTGAAACGATCAAAATAAAAGACCAGAAACAAGGCGAGATCTATAGTACAATTGCGGAAAGATATACGGTACTTGAGCGGTGCGCGAGCAATAGCGCAGGGTGGGTGGAACAGTCGCCCCCCCCCCCCACAAGAACGAAAGAACGGGGGCGGACGTATGAACGAGGGTGGTGGGTCCGGAGATAGCTAGCCGCGCGCGCACGTATTGCCGTACACGCTCGGTCTGGCCCCCAACTAACTAACTGATAAGAACGCGCGGCTACCCCGGGGAGTCCATGCATCTTTCGGATGCCAGAATGAATTCTACCTACTCGAACGCTAATAACAGTTAACGGGGGCGACGGTAGAACCCCGTCTAGTCCGAGAGGCCCTTCGCCCCGCGGATGACGCTGACGGCCTGCGCGGAGCGCGGCCTTATATCGTACTTGAACGGCTTCAGCGTCGTGAACACCGAGTTGTCGTACACGACCTCGGGCTCGACGGCGTGCCCGAACGCGTCCGTCGCCTTCGTGATGTCGAACGCGGCGAGCATGGACGCGATCGCGATCCAGAGCGACGAGTCGATCATGAACGAGCCCGGGCAGCGCCGGCGGCCGAAGCCGAAGACGTAGTTGCGCACGTCGCGGAGCTTCGCGGTCTGCTCGTCCACGTCCTCGAGGTAGCGCTCGGGGTCGAAGACGTCCGGGTTCGGGAAGACGGCGGGGTCGCGGACCATGTTGCTGCAGAGACATGGCGCGTGCGCCGTCAGTAGGGAACATGCGCGAACGCGAAGAGCCGCGACTGACTAGTTGTTCCCGAAGACGAGCGTGCCCTTGGGGATGAACATGTTCTTGTACACGTTGTCCTCCGTGATGCGGCGGGGCAGGCCGAGCGGGACGGGGGACGAGATGCGCAGCGCCTCGCTCACGACCGCGTTCACGTACGGCAGGTGCGGGCGGTCGCTGAACGTCGGGAGGCGCGCGTTGCCGACGACGGCGTCGATCTCCTTCTGCGCCTTCTGCAGGATCTCGGGGTGCTGGATCATCGCGAGGAAGAAGTGCGAGATGGCGGAGTTGGTCTGTCCGGCCCGACCCACGTGCGCGGGGAGAGGGAGGGGGGAAGGCGGGGATCAGCGAGGGTCGACGTAACGTAAGGACAGCGGACTTACGGTGTCGAAGCTAGCTGTAGCACGTCAGGACCAATACAATCGCGGACGAGTTAGCACCGACATTGACACATGCCGGACACGAGGAGACGGGGATGAGCGGGGGTCATAAGTGAAAACTTACCAGCATAAAGAGAGTTAGCGGTCCACCGGATGTCGAAGTCACGCTGGCTGTCAACGGACTGGTCCTTGTTCTCAAGCGCGGCGTCCTCGAGGAGCATCGAGACGTAACAGGGGACCGCGGTGCCTTCCCGCTGTAAGACCGCCACACACAAGTAAACCACCCGTCAGGATACAGACACCACACAACCTAACTCTACCCGCGCGCACGGAGATAGCCACGCACCATCTGCTGCTTTGTGAACTCAAACGGCTCGTTGACGAACGCCTCCATCTTGCCCTTCCAGACCGCCGCGTCGCGCTTGAAACGCGCGCCCGGGAACCACGACGGGATGTGCTTCACTGTGACGTAGCAGCAGATCGCGCGCGCTCGGCGTTAGCACGCGTTCTCCACGGCAGGAACCGCGGTCGCGAGGGGGGAGAGTACGTACGTGGGGGGAACAGGTCGACGAGCCAGACGACGCCCGCGGCCGCGATGCGGTTCGAGAGCAGCTCGAGGCTCTCGTCCGCCATCTCGAGCAGCCGGTCCGCGTTCGAGAGCACGCGGTAGCCGTACACGATGAGCAGCGTCAGGCCGCCCGTGTACCTGTGCCGCGCGAGGAAAAGCGTCCGTGAGCATGTCTGACGCGCACACCACGACAAGTATTGCGGCGTGCGACGACGCACCTGCGGACGATGTTTAGCGAGTCGTCGGGCGAGTTGAGGATGCCCTGCAGGAGGTTGTGGGTCTGGATTTCCAAGAGGGGGTGGTACGCGTGGATGCGGTTGGCACCGAGGGCCTGGAGCATGAGCTTGCGCTGCCGCCTGAGCCTATCGCCGTATGGCGTGAGGCCAATCTGGCATGTCAAAAAAACCGCACCCGATCAGGGATAGGCAGGCGCAAAGGGCGCGTCAGCATCTACGCACTCCGATCCGGCTTAGTGCTGGGAAGAGGAAATGTGGCGCACCATGTTCTCGCAGCCGCAACTGCAGGTTAGGCGCGTCCGGCGAACAAACATAGACGACAACATGCGATGATCAGTTCCCGCCGACACGTCCTGCGGCGCACGCAGGGAGATATGCGCGGGGACGGGCTGTCACTTACAGTTCGCCGGCCATGACCATCCTGGGCTTGTCCGAGTAGATCGCGCCGCGCTTCTCGAGCAGGTCAACTGCGGCCTCGTAGCTATTTACAAAGAGCAGGCCTTGCCCGAAAATGTTGAGGTAGACCAGTTCGCCTGCAGCATACGGGCGCCAACCGCATTTCGCGTCAGCCATCATCGCTGTAGCGGACGTCGAGGCAGCAGTGAACGGCGCACGCACCGAACTGCTGTGCCCATTTCTGGGCGGGGAACCATAGTCCGGTGAGCGTCATGTCCTTGAGGTTCCCGACGACGGGGAGCCCCTTGGGGCCTGGGGGGAGCGACAGCCTCCGCTGCTTCTGCTGGAAGCCGGCCCAGACGAAGTATGCGGCGACGAGGGCCGCGAGCCAGAGGATGGAAGACATTCCGGAGAGCAGTCACGGATCCACGGCGCGCACGCCCAGAAGAATAGTTATCGGAGAGGTGGGGAGGGGAAGGGGAGAACCGGCGTCGGGAGGGCGGCGGTGGGAGGGAGGGGGACGGGAGAAACGATACGGGACCTGGGCGGGGTGGGAGGGGGAGGATATATGGCGCGGAGGGGTGCGCTGACGAAACTCTAATTGGCGAGCGAAGAAGTACAAGCGAACGGACGGGGATAGTGCCCTGCCCTGGCTCTTCGCGCCTTCGCGGCAGGGCGCGCGAGGAGTGATTGAAATACTCGCTGCCAACACATAATTCAGATCGCCCCCGTGTCCGCTCGTGCGGACCCGGCCGGCCTCGAGCTCTCGTAAATTGCGCGTGCCAGAAAGGAGGGCTCTTGATCGCATCTGCGCCTTGCTCGAGCTCCGCGTCGAATCGCGGGCCAGACAGACCTGAGATGCAGCCGGGGGGTGGGAGTGCAGGGTCTGCGTGGGTGTCGACGCAGGTCGCCAACAGAAGGCGAAGCGTCATTAATCCGCGCTGCCGGCGCGCCAGGCTGCGACGAGTCGGAGACTGGAGTCGGACGTCGATTCGCGAGCGCAGGCGACTCGCCAACGTCGTTTACGTCCCGTCTCTACGCTTGCGCCGTAATGCAATATCCAGTTCGAGCCCCTCGCAGCGACCGTGGCCGTTCTCGTCGGGTTCCTGTGCAGACGTTAGCAACCACAGGCTCTCGGCGGACGCAACGAGTGTGCGCGTGGCGGACGGGGAAGAAGGCATGGACGATTATGGCAAACGCTCGACGACGCTGGCGGCTTCTCTCCGCGGGGAAGGCACCAGCCAGCTCATTCCGCTGCTTGCCATCCTTCTTGCCTCTTCCGGATGAATCTCCCTTCTCCCGCCTTCTGATCGAACCCGGTGCGCTGCCGTAAGGAAGCAACTGATGAATACATACAACAGCGCCGGCGTGGCCCCATTCATTTACCTAGTCCATCCCGGCCGGACGCGGCCAACGGAGGCAATTTGGGCGACGTTCCCTTCCCGGCAGCCCGCGGCCCGAGGGCGACGGTCGGGCACTCGGACTCTGCTGTGGCTCGCGCGAGCCGCGAGGGGACGTCAGCACGCCGTCCTCGACGATGCCCAGCTCAAAACGCCCCGACGTCCGCCCTTCACCCTCACCCTCACCCTGTTTCCTCTCCTAACACGACCCTGGCCGCCACGACACACCCTGCCCATGCTCCCGCCCTCGCTCTCACGCCCGCGACTCCCCGCAGCCTGCAATAATGTGTCCGCCAGCGCCTCGAGGCTGATTCGCGACCTCGCGCCGCACTACCCTCGCTCTGCTCCCGCCGCCCCTGCCTCCCCGTCCGTCGCCAACAACACCGCTCTCAGGCTCGCCAGCAATATCCCTGCGGCCGCTCGGGGCGCGCACGTCCATCACGCAAGAGGATTTCGGTCAACGGCCCCGCGCTGCGCGCGAGGTCTCGCGGGGACCGCCCCCGCGCACACCGCGTACGTCCTCCTGCACACGCACGCGCCCCCCGCCGCGTACCCGCCCAAGTCCGCGTCCCCGCTCTGGCGCGAGCTCGCGCTGCGCGCGCGGCGGTGGGGCGGGGCCGTCAACTTCGCGTGGGCGCCCGGGCAGGCGGTGCACCCCGCGTACGCCGGGCTGGGCGAGGCGGGGGACGAGGGCGAGGAGGAGGCGTACGTCGCGTCGGTGTTCTCGCCCGCGCTCCCGGCGGGGCGGCTCGTCGTGCCCGAGGTGACGCGGGCGAATCTGGACGCGGTGGACAGGCGGCTCCGCGCGCTCATCCGCGGAGATCCTGGCCAAGGGGGAGGGGAAGGGGAAGCTTGGACGGCGGGAGAAGCAGCGCGGGATGAGAGGCTCTTCCTGTACGTGTGCACGCACGGCGCGCGCGACTGCAGATGCGGGGATAGCGGCGGAGACGTCGCGCGTGCCTTGCGCAGGGAGGTCGCGAGCCGGCGGGGGCTCGCCGAGCGCGTCTCCGTGGGCGAGGTCGCGCACGTCGGGGGCCACAAGTACGTCAACGCTCTCTCTCTCTTGACGCGTGCAGCGCGCGTTGGCATGGCTATCGCGGACGTTGACGTTGGATATTGATTCGTGTTGCCCGACCCTTCTGTCGCCCATCCGCACACGCACGGCAGGTACGCGGCGAACGTCCTGGTGTACCCATATGGCGAATGGTGCGTAGCAGCCATCACTACTGTTTCTATTTCTCGGGATGCCGTCCGTCGCGCATCCACGCCATCCCGCGCAACGCTCATCTCCGCCACGCCACTGTCCACAGGCTGGGAACGGTGCAAGAGTGCGACGTCCCCCGACTCCTCGACGAGCTCCTCGCCTGGCACGCCGCGCACCGGCACGTCGCCTCGCCGCACGACCGCCCGCCGCTCTGCCCGCCGTTCTGGCGCGGGCGGATGGGCCTCGACAAGGAGGAGCAGATCGCGCTGCATGCGAGGCGCGGTTCAGGTCAATGAGCGGCGACGTACGTCACTCCACCCCGTAGCGAACGCTGGCGTGCGGATAACGCTGGTTTTGCCTGGTCGTCCAGCGCCACAGGGCGCGCGGCGTCGCCGGGGCGTCCAGCGATCTTGCGGCTCACACTTCGGGCGCGGGCGGAGGTACGCCTTCTTCTCGTGCACCCCAGACACCACACGACTGACCGTTCCGCGCACGGAAGTCATAGGGATTATTACATCGCACAGGCACTCGCAGATCGCTGTACGGCGCCGACGCGCAATTGAGTCGCATACACAGACCGACGTCATAGACAGGCATGGTTAGCACAATGCAAGCATCCTGCGACGCTATCCCGCTTGCGGGCAGCTGCGTCCCTTCCTGCGAAGCCGCCATGTAAGTCTTAAGTACTAGTCACGGCGTCCTGCCATGGAAGACCGTACGCGTGTCGGAATCGAATCCGTGAGCCACCCCGGCGACGATCCCCCCGAAGCACTAGTGCTAGCTTGCTTCGCTCGTCGTGTGAGGGCGCTTCTCGGCGCTCCCGAAGGCTGGCCCGCTGGACGTGAACGGGACCGATCTGGCTTAGCGCGAGTGCGAGCGAAAATGCTTCCGCGCGTTGGTATGTATCTGTCCATCGCTCGATGGCGCACGAGACGCTAGTACTTACTTGCAAACATTCTCCTCTCGCCCGGCCCGAGCGCGCGCAGAGGCGGCACACATCACACCCAACGTTTCGCAGGAGCGCGGCGTGCAAGACATCGCGTGGGCACGACGTGGCCGCTCGCGCTCAAACTGACACAACACCGTATGGTGGACTCGGAAACCTGCGCGGGCACAAGTATGGGAGCCGAGGCCCCCTGAACGGCCCTGGACCTATCGTGCGCTTTTGCGTCATCTCAAGTGAGCGGCTCTACGACAGTTCATGTCGCTCAAATGCACCCGTTCTTGATCGTGCCCTCAGCTGCGCGCGCCGAGTGGTGGCGACTCGACACAGACTGGGGCGTCTGGTGCACTAACGTGCTAAATAGCAAGTGGCGGAGCATCAGCGACAGCGCTCCGTCCTATTTACGTCTTGCACTCTGTGGCACGTCTCCATTGCGGGACATAGCATATCGAGTTAGTGCAACACCCTCGAGTTTCATTCCGGGCTTCGGGCGGGGCTAGCGTCGTACGAATACGCAGCGTGCGGAGCGGAGTAATGGTGACTTCTGCGCGCGCGATACGCTGAGGGTGTTGCACCAATTGCTCCGCCCGCTGCTGACTGGCGAATATAGCAGCACGTCCGAGTCTGCCAGCAGCGCTGCGCTTGTCTCGCCCGTGTCGGTTCCGCCGTTTGGCCATCGTAGCCGTTCCATGCCGAGACCCCGCTGAGGTGACTCCGCTGCGCACCTGAAGAGCCCCGGGCCCTCATGTTCTGCTGTACTTAGCTTCGGCCCGTCTGCTTTCCGCGCGGTCGGAAAATGCCAGCGGTTAACCCTCAACCTTAGCGGATGGCGTCCGCCGGCCTCCATTCCATCTGCCACAGGAAGCGTTTGTCGCGCTATAGCTTGCAAGGTCGTGCGGTGAGCCGCTTCACGCCATGGTCTAGGCCATAGATGGACAACGATGCCACCACTCACGCGACACGGCGCCACCCGGTTTGTGCGGACGATCCAAGCCACTGTCCTGCTAGACTGTCGGTCCTATGGAGCCCTCCCGCCATGGTCGCCGCATTCTTCAAGTTCGTGACGTGTGCATACATATCCGTGCCTGGGCGGTCCGCCCCGCCCACCCGTATCACTTGGCTCTTGCGTACTCACCCGAACACAACCTGCGGTACGCGTGCTGGGGCTGGAAGCAAGAGCGCTTGACCGTGGCCAGACATGTGTGCGAACGTGCATACGTTGTGACGGCGTCCTACAGCCGTATGCCGTCCTTTGACTGATCTCGATCGGGGACCTCCGAAGCGGTGGCACAAGCTCACATACATCTGAGAACGCACGAGCTCGTCACCCGGGGCCCTTCTTTCTGTCCTCCCGGTCTTCGATGGATCCGGATCGGAAATAGTCAATCTGAAGGGAGTGGGAGCGAGCCCGCAGTTGCGTTGATCGTGGTGGTGTCGCCGCGTCAGGATGATCCTCTCGTTGAGGGTGACGAAATTGGGCCCTGCACAAGCGCTGTCATTCGAGTAAAGCATGTCGAGTGTAGTAATGGACTGTAGCCTTGACTCAGCCCGGGGCGGTCACCCTCAGAGTCTGTGCTGACGTGGACGGGCACGGTGAGCAGCAGGAGAGTACCAGAGCAAGCATCGCCCGTTCATGACAGTCTCCACGCATGCGAATACGGAACCCGCGACGCACCAGAATGCCATGGTGGGGCCTGCCCGCTACCTGGCACCAGGCCGCCCCTCCCCACAAGCGTTCACCGAGGCCGTCTACGCGTCCCGGGTGAAGATGTTGTACGAATCACGGTTTGGCCCCGAGGACTCGACCAGTACGTCGTCCTAGAGGCAAATTGAGCGGCTGAGCCCTGATATTGATCTGTGACGGAACATAGCAGCTGCTCACGGAGCATGGTGGGTCCGACCTGGACATCCCCAGCCCGGTCAGGCTCCCAGAAGACTGTCCGAGAATACGCAGTGAACATAGCCCAAGAAGGAGCGCAGACGGCAGACGGCACGCACAGATGCTCCTGCCCGAGCCGTTGGGTAGGCTACCCAAGACCTGCTCAACATCCATGTTTCCGTCGACTGGTTGCCGCTCGAGGTCGGGATGCTCTTTCCGAAACGCTCCCGCCTGAGCACCCAACGGGCAGAATCGTCCCCCGGGCGACGATCGTTTTCCCAAACGTGGTCGTGACGTTGGTTAGCGACGACGTGAGGCGTGGCCTGCGTCCCACGGCCGTCGCAGAGCGGGTAGAACGAGACGCTGACGATGTCGACTTCCCCGGCGGAGAGCCCTCTAAGGATCACGACTTTGGATTGAAGTCGGACCAGCCCAAGCCGTACGCGGGGTGGATGAAGATATTGGGGGAGCCTGTGGACTTGGGCGCTGTTAATTGCGGAATGAAGGAGCTGCGAGACGGCGTTGGCCCCCTCCTGGGAGATCGAGACGATGGGCAAGAGAAGGCCCTCGTTGATTTTGTTACCGCCCTGGAGGATACCTATGAAGTACCATTGTGCTGCGGAACTCGTTACGCCGCTCTGGCATGAGTGCAGAGTGGATGGACGTGGTAGGGGGATTCAGCCCATCTAGCTGCAGAACTGTCGGCTAGGCGCGAGGAATGGCCTTAGGTTGCTTGCATAGATCCGCCCCTGTGCAGAGCACATAACTATCAGCCTGTACTTGGGAAAATAGACGTAAGCATACATAGGAATCCCCTGAGGTAAAGATTAACGACCGAGGCGTGCTTGACCCGCTTTGCGAGAGAGTAAGGGCGCAGTTCAGGTGCGTGGAAAGCAGAGTTCCGCACACTGAGCTGGCCAGGCTCAGGTGCCTTCCTGAGCTTCCAAGAGACGTTCTACCGCGTCTTGCAGGTGGGAGGCATCGATACGTGGTCGCCCACAGACCGGACGCGGATGCGGAGGTGTTCGTAGTGATCACCTGCTCTTTTCCACTACGGCGCGCGAGGGGATGTCCGGAGAGCACGCACTAGCACGGTGAAAGCAGCAAGAGAGGGAGTAGGGTCATGGCTTCTCGTGCCTTGTGGTGTTACTCTGCAGCTGTGCGACGACATTTCTTTTGAGAGCATGATTCAAAGACGAGCAGATATGTCGCCATTAACGGTCTACTATTGAGCGCGTGAGGGAGGCGGACGCAGAGCTGCAGTCTTCGGGGCCGCAAGAACGTGTTGAACTACTTCGAGCGTGAACATATGACGGGGAAAGTGATGCCAAGGCCAAAGGTAACGTGGTCATGGGGTGACACACATCGTTGCGAGTGAAGAAGATGCGAAGCAACACATCCGTTGTCCTCCGTGGCAGGTCATTGGTCAACTTTTGAAGAATCGGCCTCACCTACCCAATGTAGATCTTGTCTATATGCAGCGCAGCCTGGATAGCACGGACCTACAGGGAGACAAGCAAGTAGTTTCGTCGCGGGCAAGTGTGCCTGGTGCACAGCGCGCAGTGCATTTGTCCGGCTTTGAGATGGTTCAGTAGCTGAGTGAGTACCCCACGGAGAGATGTACTCCCACATGCCCCACGGAGAGATGTACTCCCACATGCCAAAGACTATATGAAGCGTTAAGTTAGAATGCCGGCTTACGTCTGTCGGATTGAGAAATATAGTCAATAACACGATATGATCCCTACCAGCTCTACGATCCCGTCAATATCGTCGGCGCACCGAACTCCGCAGAACCCTCTCTCGGACGTTTTCTCCCCCTTCCATCCTCCCGTCCGATATCACCATCTTCCAAGTCGCTCGAATTCAGATCCAGCTCAAGATCCCACACAGGACTTGGCGGGCGTTTGCGCATGGGAGGAGGGCCTGATTCCGGCGTTGGCTCGGGGGAATCGTTGAGGTCGAGCTCCATGTCCCACGTCGGGCTTGGCGAGCGGGCCCGCGGAGCTGGCGGCGGTCGTGGCGGAGTAGGGGCACGTCGTCCAGAGACGAAGTCTGTTCCGTCAATGGGTTCAGGCTCTATCGCTCGTCCTTTGCCCTTGTCAGTGTTATGTGCCTGGCCCTCGGAGCTCGTGGAAGCTTGTTGGCTGGCGCGGACTTGCAGCTGTGTGCTCACGGGGAGCGCACTGGTGCTATTGTTGCGGAAGGGCTTGTTGAACGCGTCTTGTATGCGCTTGGCCTTGACTTGACCGAATCCCGGCAGGTTTTGTAGTTGCTCAGACGAGGCTTTCGCTATAGTAGCGAAGCTCTGGTGGAAGACAGTCAGCGACCGTATACATATGCAAGTACCATGGTTCCCGGATTGAAAGACATATGAAGGGTAATGGGACGATTGGAATGAATCGCAACAAGAGGCTGGTCTGGCTGTCGACATTGCCGGCTATATGCGCCAATCTGGTCCTAAATGCGTATCGAGGCGTTGCTTCGACCTGAAACCCCAATGGCATAGCACTTACCCCGAAGGAGGTCCGTAGAGTTTCCACATCAGTCTTATTCACTTTGCTGATGCTTGTCAGAGCGGTACGGAGCATCGAATTGTAATCCTTGTCGACACGTTCTTTGATGAGGTCTGGCGGCTTGTGCTCAAACTGCTTGTAGGTCGACAAGTAGTAGCCCGCTTCTTCCGCGCTGCAGATAACGCGGAATGAGACGGGAACAAGCATAACACGAGATCAGTACTCACTTCCATGCAACCATGACAGTGATTTCGTTGATGAGGCATATCTAACGGTTGGTACGCAGGCGTCAAAAGCGCGTAAGAGCCAGAAGAGACCAATGCTTACCTTGGTCAGTTCACGGATTGGTTCTTGATGCTCGCTCTGGGAGCACGCCTCAGCAGAGAGATACACATACGCAAGCAGACGTGTAGACGCACCACATCACACATTAGCAGAAGGATGCGGAGATTGTACGCATGTCCCAGCTTCTCAATGCGCTGGTGGATATATTCAGGATGCAGCCTATGATATCGTAGACTGCCAAAATTACCGCTCGGCAAAGTCGAGATGTAACAAACAAGATCTACTCAACGTACCTTAAGAACAAGACGCCTGTAGTTCTTCCCACTTGGTAGTCTGCCAGTATGTCCCCATACTCCTTGCCAACATTTCTCACACATTCCAAGATAGGGTTTCCTCTCTTTGCAAGATGAGTTACAGGAGGAGGCCCGGCTGTGTGGTCATACCTGACAAGGATTGACTATAATGTTGTTGCCTGTCCCTGGGACGACGACAGGCGGCTTGGGTTGACCGCCTGGCCTTGTTGAGCTGCTTGCGCCTGCGCTGGAGGCCATGCACAAGGATGCACAAGAAGTAGCAGATAATGGAGGAGATCGGACTGTGAGCAAGTTCAGAGCAACGATAACTAGCGGTGGACGTCCGAAGCTCTGACCTTGAGTACGCGTGATGAGTCGGACGTTACTGAAGCGCTGAAGAGGATCGAGATCTCTAGGGTCCGAGGTTTCCGGAGTGCTCCGTTTGCCAGCGTACGCTGAGTCTCCTTGAATATTTGTCGACAATGCCGCATGTAAGAAAGGCGGATAGGTGAGAGATCCTCTGCGCCACACGACACTGAACTTGGGACACAAGTGGTTTGACGCTTCGCCCGGCGGGAGAGGAGCTAAATTACTGCAAGAATGAATCCTCCATCAAGTCAGCTTGGGACTTGATGATCACAGCTTCACGGACTGCGATTTATATCAAGTACTGTGGGATTTGTTACTTATATTAAAGGACCTCTTCTTCTACTTCTGATCGTCCATGTTTTTCTCAAGCGCGACTTGTGCCCGGTCCTTCGCGTTAAAACGCAACTGCCGCTTTCACGATAGTTCCTGGACAACTGGTCGTACTTGTGCTGTAGTTATGTTTCATTCCAACTCTACGTCCCCGGTACTTCCAGCACGGCCATTTTTGCTGGACGCGGCTCGCATCACAAAAGTGAACGAGATAAGTTGGCTTACCTGACCTTGGTGCCTGTTCCGTTCTGCCTCCATATCTCGGATGAATGGACGACTCGTAACCTGTGCATTTTACAATCAGAAAACAGCGGCTTAGCTGTTTCCATGAACCTGTAATCTGTACAAGCGGTCAGGCAATGGATGTGCATTGGGCGTGCATCCTTCGCATGCCCATGGTGTCCCTGTCGGGCCCCACCTCGGGAGATGTAGCGGTGGACGCCAAGATAAGATTAGATATTCGAAGATGCGGCGAATTGGGTCGCGCCTCGTCCGAAAGCGTACTAATCGATCCACCGTTCCGCCCATCTCATTCCTTTCTTTCGTTCCTCGTCCCCACTCTCCGTCCTCCCTCCACCCTCGCACATCCACTAGATAGGCAAAGCAAGATGGGTCGCAATTTCTTCGTCGGAGGTAACTTCAAGTTGAACCCGACCACTCGGGCGGCGAAGCAGGCGCTCGTCAAGACTCTCAACGAGGCCACCGTCGACCCCAGCGTTGGTGCGTGAACTAGCGGCTATATGTCCGCGTGCCTCGCTTGACTTTCTTTACGATTATGCGGATGCAGAGGTCGTCATCGCGCCTCCTGCACTCTACGTGATTCCCCTAAGGGCCAGCCTCCGCGCGGACTTCAAAGTCGCCGCGCAGAACTGCTACGAGAAGTCGTCTGGTGCATTCACCGGCGAGATCAGGTACGTACAGCATCTTGTACACCTTCCCGCATGGCTAATAGCTCAAATATCGCATGTTGTAGCCCCGAGCAGCTTGTCGACGCGGAAATCTCTCACGTCATTCTCGGTAAGTACTCTCCTTCTTCATCTCCGCCGCCCATCCCTTTCTAACCGTTCGCCCTCGCGCCGCAGGCCACTCCGAACGCCGCACACTTTTCCATGAGACGTCCGAGCAGGTAGCCGCTAAGACGCGCGCAGCGATCTCGGCCGGGCTCTCCGTTATTCTCTGCGTAGGAGAGACGGACAAGGAACGCGAGGCAGGCCAGACGAAGCAGGTCGTCGAGTCGCAGCTCCAGCCTGTTATCCAGGTTCTCAACGAGGCTGACTGGAGGTATGCCCATCTCCACCCGTGTTTCCCGGTCATCGTGCTCAAACTCGCTCACTGCGCACTGTAGCAAGGTCGTGATCGCGTACGAGCCCGTCTGGGCGATCGGCACGGGCAAGGTCGCGACGTCTGCGCAGGCGCAGGAGGCGCACGCGGACATCCGCGCCTTCCTCTCCAGCCAGGTGTCCCCCTCTGTTGCGGAGAACACCCGCATCATCTATGGTGGCTCTGTCAATGCTGGCAACTGCAAGGAACTCGGTGAGTCGCACGCGTGGGCTTTTTATGTGAAGGCCTTGAGCTGTGGGACTCACCGCGGCGTTGCATACAGCTGCGCAGAAGGATGTCGACGGTTTCCTCGTCGGCGGCGCGTCGCTTAAGCCCGAGTTCATCGATATCATCAACGCGAAGAAGGCATGAGCATCATATCCGGTCTCGGAACAAGCCGAGTGAATACGAATGTACTCCTAGCCAATATAGACAGGAAGGTTTGTAAGACGTGCAGAAACTAAAATAAATGTACTCTTTCCACCCACTGCCAAAGATGTACGAGACCTAGTGCAAAATCATATGACCGCTACTGTGGAGGCATCCATTTGGAGACACTGCCTAATATCCGAAAGTCTGAGACATAGTGCATGATCTGTCAAAGATCGACACTAGAGGCGAACACAAATACGCTATCCCTGCATGGACTCGGGGTGCAACGAGGAACCTCCTTGCGTCACACTATATAATGTCAAGACAATATGAAAAGCTCAGATCCGCCGAGAAAAAAACCGCAGTAACACCACACTTCTCCGTTCAGGAACTATCCGGGACACGAGCGGATAGCATCAATGGCAACTGCGAGCCAGATGCTCGCCCCGTTGCCCCCATTTGAACCAGGTTGTCCTTCATGTTCCGGACAACATCCTCGAACTGCGCAGTCCACATCTGCGTCCCTGAGTCGTCTCCAGCGGGTCCCATGGCCTGAAGCCGAAGAGCGTCCTCGAGAGCAACGACGAAATCTTCGGAGTACAGCCCGGAGCCGTGTGCGCAGAGCTCGACCAGCGTGCGATGGGTGTGACCCGGTACAAAGTCCAATAGAACGGCGCGATCGACCTCGTGCGCGAGCATTGTAGCCAAGAAAGAAGAGGCGCGCCTAACGCCGGTGCGGAGACCTTCGATGTCGTTCTCCGGGATGCGGGCATTGGGAGCGTGTATGGCGCAGTGCAGGAGGATGCGCATGTAGCAGAGGAGAATGGCACAGTCTCGTCGAGTGATTTGCCATGCCGCGGTGTTCTTTCCGTAGTGCTGCTCTCTACATCGATGGTACAGTTGGCCGATGAAGCGGATCTTGTTAATCGCCACAGTTGAAACTGAGAAATTACACGCCAAAATTGTAAACATGAGTCTCCGGGGAAGGAATTGGGGTCACTTACGACATCGGACGGTGTGCACGGCAAGGCCTTGCCCATCACCCGGAGGGAGGTGGAGTAGAATACGATCGATCGCAAACGCACACTGTTCGAGAGCAAGCCTGTTTCTCCTGAGGTTTCGGACATTGTGCCAACACTTGGTCGTGCCGAGCGCAATCCGGGACAGCATCACGAGCAGGTTATCCTTCCTCTCTGTAACCAAATCCGGGGAAATTGCATCGCCCAAACAGGCATGCGTGTGGACCATGTCGAGGCCATTGAGGGCGCCGGGCGAGTCCAAGGTAAGCTGGGATGCAAGGGCAGCATCACTCCAGAGACTCGGGATGTCGCGGGGTAGCAGGGCAGATCTAAGCGGGATGCGGCGGGATGCAGGCCCTAGTACCGTCTTGTTGACCTGGCGGATACCTTTGTAGAGTCGAATGACAGACTCCGGTGTTGGTAGATCGGCAAGGATTAGGCGGAACGACTGGAGGAATTTCTCGTCTTTCGTCACTCTGTATGCCGTCACTGCTATATCAGCATCAAGGATATGTTTCGAAGCCTCGATGATGGTGTGCTCTCGACCACGTATGGAGGAAGGCGGTAGTTTGCCAAAGAAGTCCTTACTACGTCTCACTCTCGCCCCTGTCCGTACTCTGACACGTCCCCTTGCACCATCCCTCATCGACACCTCCCCCATCACACACCCCTAGTTTGCATGAGCATCGTGCTCAATCATGTCCCGCTGACCACCATTATCACCTAAGTAGACAGTACTGTATTTACGGCCTACCATGAGGCTCGGCCTCGCAGGGCAATAAACGGGATCTAGAAGAAGAAGAAGAAGAAGTCCTTACTAGCCTCTATGCCGTATTCCAGTGCCTCTATCTTACTGATAGGATCCAACGTCAGTGACAACGACGCACGGCCGCGAGCCGTCTCGATCATAAGCAAGGGGATGCGGATGCACACCCGCATGCTCCAGAACAAGGCATACAGGAAGTACGAAGCCTGAGAGAGGTAACAACAGGTTGGGACGAGTACGGAAAGAATGGCAGTGCCGACTGCGAAGATGGTGTGAATACCGATGAGGACCGTGGCCACAGTCGCGACGGTCTGGTGTAGACTGTAGACTCCAGAGCAAGACAAGGAGTCCGGCAAAGAAGAGATTCAAGGAGAGTTGGAGGAGAATCGGAAGTGCAGCGACGATTGCTGGAACTTGCCACTTCAGGAGATTGTTCAAGCGATGTTGACGGTCTCGTGCTGATGCACGAGAAGTTCCTGACACGCCACGCTGGAACTCACGGAGCCACTGCTTTACCATGATAGCGACAGATGAAGCTGTGGTGCTGAGGATCAGACTCGAGAACCAGAGAGTGTTGAGCCAGACAGCTGTTCTGTCAGCAGCCGAAGGGGGGGTAGAGTCCTTGGAGATGAAAGCCGGCACCGTTGAGTTGATGGTGGTGGGTGTTACCGAGAAACTACCGAGTTGGGTGGAAATCCGCTGTAGGGCAGACAGCACTGGATCGGGAGGGGCGGGTTGCAAGAGGGAATACGACTGGACATTGAACGCGGTGAGGATGGCGGAAAAAAGTGCGGCCTGTTGATACAGGTTCAAATGATCGGTCAAAGGCACAAGTATGTGGCGGACGCACATAAAGCAACATGTTATCAAGTTCCACATTCCATCGCTGTACCATCTCCTCGCTATAGGTCTTCAGGGACTCTGCAGCATTCTCCCAGGCTTCTTGCGTCTCCTTCGCGTCGAAGTGCGACTTGCGCTTCTCCCATAGTTCCTGAACAATTGATCGTCAGAGAGAAATCAGGGCCACTGACGCAGTTGTGCAGGTACCTGCGCCGTGGGTACCCTCCATTCTGACTCCTAATTTCCAGTATGCTTAGCAGTGAGATGACGGAGAAGTTCAAGGTTGAGACTCCAACTTACCTGGCTTTGTGGCATGTTACGATCCCCCTCCATGTTCAGGTTGAATGAGCGACTGGTAGCCTGTTCAGTGTCTCGCAAGAAATAGTACGTTAGTTCCTGGTAACGCCTTTAAAGCACTGTACATGCTTGTTCTGCACGGAAGGAGTGCGTGTACCATGCGGCATTTTCAGTGGTACGGAAAACGCGTTGTGAGAACGGCGCTCAAGGAGACGATAAGGACTTAAACGCTGGGAGCATTATAACCAAGCTTATGTCAGCAAGAGTCTTACTTGAATAACGCCTGCTAGTAACATAAACCATAACCTTGGAGATTCGTAAGACACGCAGACACCGAAATGAATGTATTCTTGCCACTCACTGGTCAACAACACTCGTTGGATCCTCGTCCGCCAAAGGTATGCTAGATGTCTGAAGGGAAGCACCAAATCTGACCAGATATGGAGACCGCAACAGTCTAGCTATGAGCAGTCTCGCACTTTACTAACTAAGCTATATTCCAAACGACAGTCTACACACGCCATAGCGACACCTCCCCAATCTCTCAAGCAGTCCCCAGGGCATACTAGTACGGCGCCCACCGGCTACTTCACACCTCCCCCCTCCTCCCTCCTCCCCATCCGCATCACCCTCATCTGCTTCGTCGACGGCGCGCGCATGACCCGCAGCTCCCGCATCTCCACGTCGTTCAACGGCGCGCCCTGCATGACCGTCGACGCCGCGGACGCCGTGTGCGCCCGCTCGTCCTCCTCCGTGCCGTACCCGAACGAGATAAACGCGAGCACGCTCCGCCCCGAGTGCGCGCGGCTGTGGTGCGGTCCGCTGGTGGGACCGATGGAGGCGCCAGAGAGGACGACGGGCTCCTCGGCCGCGTCGCGGATGTAGCCGCGGACGTTGAGGCAGAGGCGGGAGGACATCACCGTGGAGAGCGCGACCGCGAAGCCGATCGGGATCTCGACTTCTGCGTCCTGCGGGGGAAGGACGAGGATGCGTGAGTAAGTATCTGTGGGGCCGCAGCTTCAAGGGTCAAACCACGAGCAGGAGTGCCGCGGCACCGCGGCGCACGACTAATGTATTTGCGTGAGTGTGGGCGCGGGCGTCGGTGTCCAGAAGAAGACCCGACTATATGCCACAGCGACGCGAGCTGCGGGGCGAAGCCCTCCGGCGCAGCAACGCGGGGAAGCGGAAGAGACGTAACGAGCACTCAAACTGCGCACGTACCGGCCGTGTCAAGAAAACGATCGCGTTCGTCAGGTATGTCGCGAATATGCTGTGATCCGAACGAGGCAGACGTCAGCAAGCAAGCTCCCGATCGATCCTCGCTCTCCGCAGAGTCCGGGCTCCGAGAACGCCGACCCGCGGATCGCCAGGCACGGAAAGAAGTCTAAAAGACGGAGCGCGAAACCAAGACTCACACCACGAAATAGGACACGGAGTCGCGGACGAGGATCTCGAGGACCCGTCGTCCGCTCTGCACGACGTTGTTGCCGGGGCGGAAGCTGTCGAACCCCCGGTAGAGCGCGAGGCCGCACAGGAAGCTCTCGGAGACGAGCATGGGGATCCAGAACGCGTAGAAGTTGCTCGGGAGCCCGAATGGCACGCATACTGTCGAGCCTGACAGGGGAAACTTGAATGCGACGGCTGTTGTGACGCGATAAGAGGTTGGGTCAACGCCAGTGGCAGGCAGCAGGGAAGCACCGACCGGTGATGAGGGACAAGGCTTGACCCATGACATACGCAGAGCTAATGGCTGCGCCGAGGGAAACGAACGTGATTGCGGCGAGGATGCGCTTGTTCCTGAAGTAGAGCGCATATAGCCGCAATTGGAGGATCACTGGAGATGGTCGTCTGTGAGTCGGTCTGGGGGGATATGTTTGCTCCTGTTCTACTCACTTTCGGCGATGATGAACGTGATGACCCCGGTAGCCCCCTGCCATCTGAGCCAATGAACACAACTATGGTCGCTTTTCTCAGCGGATATATGTCAAGGGACCGCGTGTGATGACGTACAACTGACAGGTGGATTACTCGTCAGGTAATGATACGATCGGCAGGCCGAGGGTGTACTCACAGAATTTGATAGCGTGTCTGTATTAAACAATACTACACACAGATGAGCCTCGCAGGGGTCAACCGTAGGGACTGTCCCGGATCTCACCATAGTTATTGAATCTAAGGTAGTCGGAGAGTCAGCACAACGGACGCCAACGGGCAGTAGACCGCGTACATGACTATACAGAGAGCATAATATCGATTCTGGGTGTCTGGTCAAGACATGATATGGAAGAAGAAACAATCAACACACTCACCAATAAGAATAAGAGTTTCCCCAATGACCAGTGCGCGTGCTGTATGATACCGTGTCAATACCGAGCTCGAAATGAGGGTGGTCCCCAACTCGTGCGTACCCATATGAGGTGGATCTTCGTGAAGCAGCTGATCAACCTCAACGTCACTACACAGAGCTTCTCAAGAGGACACTCACTTCTTGGTCCAGCGTCAATACTATGGTTGAGTAATGCGAACACACTAGATTAAGCGCGTCGTTCGGCTATAGACATGAGCAGACGACTAACCGTGGTCAAACAATATAATCACGGTGCTGGCCACTAGTCGGGATCCGTTGGGCATGCTCATCAACGAAAGACCAAACCAAGCACTCACGTTCGGCATAGCGAATCTTCAAGATGGTGGGGAGGAGCTCCTCCAGGAGTGCTGCCTCTAAGGCCGGACTATACATGACGACTGGTGCGCGCGTCTCCGAGGCCAAGCCGAATTGTGGGGACTCGGAGCCCAGGCGAGCGGGGGTAGAAAGGAACGGGATGGGACGGTGGAGGGGGTGGACCAAGCGAGAGGGCAAGTGGGCAAGCACTCGCGTACACGAACTCGGACGCACAGCAGAGAAGTATATGACATGCGCTTGGAGGGCTTGTTAGCCGGCCCCGGCCTAGCCCCGTGGTACGGCCGCCTGGCGAGGACGCCCTCATCTAGAGACTGGAAGTAAATAGAAGCTTACGAAAGTGGTAACGAACATTGGGATGGACGGCGCCAATTCACAAATCTGGAGATTGGCTAAAAGATGCGAACCCGCCCTGCCCTCTCAGAGTCCCCTCCACATCGCGAATCAAATTCCGACATATATCCGGAACAGCGCGTAGCTTCTTGCCTGATTGCGTCCGGGATGCGACCGCACTCTGGCCACACTGTCTTGCATTGCGAGCAAGGACAGCGGCGCAAGACGCCTTTGCAAACGCCTCTCGCAGCCAAGTGATCAAGCTACTCACCTCACTCACCACTGGCTCTGGCTCGTGTATTGATCCTTGAAGCCCGAGAAACACAATTTCTGTCGTCTCCTCGGCGTTGGTCCCTTCACTCAAACCCGACGCCGCAGCGCGCCCGATACGCTCACAGTGGGCAGACGCCACTGTCGGGAACGTTCCGAACTTCGAGATGCCGCGGAGCATGTTTGGCGGTATGACAGCTGCTGGGAGCCTGGGAGCCACGACTCGCAATTTGGCCTTGAGGTACGCCCCTGATGGCAATGTCTGCGCTCATTTGGCCCGCTCGCGATCTATCATGCCTCAGTGGGGACGTCGACAGCGATGCGCCCACAAATATGAGCGGCGAAGAGGCCGTGAGCGAAGGCGCGGTCGGGTGCGCTCGCGCTGCGAAAAGTGGCGTCCCTACGAATGCGTCGTCAGGGAAGTCGAATGCCCATCAGCCAAGTACACTTGTCTGACTCACGGAAGACACTCGTAGCCTTTCTGTCATCGGCCCCAATGACCCAGATAGCAGGGAAAGACCGAAGGTACCGCACAGAAGAACAAATTCATATATGAAATCAACGGGAAGGAGCGGGATATGGGCGTCGATGTCGATGGAGAAGACGTTGTGATTCCCCGAGCATCATGTCATTGCCAGTGTTCCGCAGCGACTCGGAGCGATGCGATGTCAACAATGTGAGTGAGATGGCGCTGCATCGTTGGTGGTCTGATCAACTCAGGCACAAGATTGCGATCTGCTCCCCAATGGCTTGCTCGCGGAGTGACAAGCGACGATAATTCTGCGTAAGTTTACAACGAATTGAAATCGAATGGAAACAGTCACTGTAGATGCCACTCTACCTACTTCCTGGACTCTGCTGATCATACATACACACAACAATGCCCGTAGCCTCTACTCTCTTCTATTCCTTCGGTTATCCAATTCATCGAGTCCAACAGCCACTGGCAAATCACCCCAAAACGCCACCTTCACTTCCCCTCGACGAACGCCCTGTGCACGACCAGCGCGTCCCCGCCAGCAGCCACAAGCTCGATCTCATGGCCAGCCCCGACGAAGAACACATCCCCCTCCGACACGTTCAGCTGCTCCCTGCTCCCCCACACGACCGTCCCCTTGCCCCCAGTCACGATCGCGATGCTCGGGCCGTCGATCGGCGGGTGCGTCTCCGTCTCCCCGCTGGGCACCACCGCGCGCAACACGGAGAACTCGGGGATAGGGGGGTCGTAGAGCGTGCTGTGCGTGGACGCCTGGAACGAGCGCGGCTCGACGAGGTGCTTGGACGCGTGTGCGGCGTTGTAGGTGAGCCCCGCGACGAGGTTGGGCACGTCGCGCAGCTTGGGCGTGAGACCCGCGCGGATGACGTTGTCGGACGTCGCCATGCACTCTACGATGTCTGCGTTGCGTCGCGCGATCGCCGCCGTAGGTGAGTCTCTTGTGAGACGAGAGGGAAAGGACGAGGTGAGACGTACCTCCAGAGACATACGCGTGCGGCTCGCCCGCAGCAAGAAAGATCGCCTCGCCTGGGTGCAAGCTCAGATGGTTGAGAAGGAACGCGCAGAACACTCCGATATCGCCGGGGAACTGGCTGTCAAGACGGAGGACTAGATCGCGCACATCTTTCTCTGATGGCTTCGCGCCCCCAGATTTGTACCGCGCGACGAGCTTCTCGAGCTCCGGTTGGAAGAGCGAGGCATCAGCCGTCATCACTGCGGAGAAGACATCCTTCAAAGCCTGCTTGACTTTCAAGTCTGCGGAGTCCTCCGTGGATGCGACCTGGAGGAACTGCTCTCGGATCGCCTGGGGAACCAGCGCGGCGAACTCGGGCGTGTCGACGAGGTAGTCTGCGATGCGTGGTAATGGGAGGAAGCCGCACAATGCCTGGAACGGTGTCAAAGCGAGTGCCATTTCGGGTTTATGGTTCGCGTCTGGCCAGAGACATGGGCATATGCAGGGCTACGCAGAAGACAGCTCGAAGGAAGCGCACCCTTGTACACGTCCGGACGCTCTGCATGCAGCTTGCGCGCTGTCTCCTTGTCCGGGTGGGTCTGAATACTCAACGCCTTCTCGATGGCGAGGATCTTCAACAGGAAGGGCAGGTTCCCTTCTGCGGCGCCCTCGCCTTTGAAGCGTTCTGTGACAGACGGGCCGATGAGCTCTGGGTGTGCGGCGAGGTACTCGGACAGCTTCTCCTGCGAAGGCGAGTCAAGCAAGCGTGAAGGAGAAGTGTGGTGTGTTCCCATCCATAGCTACGTAGTCTGGCAAGTCAGCATACGGTGCTTCCCTGTAAGACGATCGAGCTGCTCACTTCGGCGTAGGGCGCGTTCTCGTCGAGCGTAAAGCCCGGGAGGTTGGCCGCTGATGCATACTGCGCGACCTTGGAAGACAAACCAATCTTGCCCCAGTCATACTTCTGGGTGGTAGGTATGATCTTGAAGACGGCCGTCATGTTGACGCGGGGGAGTCACTGGAAGGGCGACTTGATGAAGGCTACTATCAGTCGCTTGTGCTACAGATGAAAGAGAGAGGCAGGATGCAGATGAGGGGGCTGCAATGGACCAGTGAGCTACGACGAGCGTATGGGACGTACCAGCTTTGTGCGTCATACGTCCAGCGCGTCCTGCCCTTGGTCTCCGACATAGAGCCGCAATCGATCTAGGCGATCTTCGTCGGCCAAATCAAGATCCATCGTCATCTCCATACGGGGCACGCCGTAAGTCCTGTTCAGAAATCAAGCAGAGACTGTTGTCTGTTGCGCCTCGGGAGTACAGGTAGCGATGATCAGCTTCAGCTTTGATGTAGACCGACGGGCACTTGTGCTTGACAGTAGCCCGGCTGGAGCACGGTATGTATGGTCTTGTTTGTAGTTCCATAACATAGGCGCCGTATCTCGGAAGGGGGAAGGTCGACCATCGCTGTACTCAGCCTGCATTATCTTGGCTGAAACAGTTCGAGAGTAATCTCAGAATTGTCTACCGCATATATCTGCTTGACTCTATCTGCATTGCACGGAGGTGATGACTTATATGATAGGCTTGTTGGACTGGCTTGGGCGGTAGAGGTCGTCTCGTCTGGACCAGATGCCTTCAGCGCGCGTTCTTCAACCAAATTGTCGGTGACAGTGCTCGCTCCAAACTCTTGACGAAAACCCGCTATTTCAGATATGAAGACCATGGAACGTGTTCTTATTATCGAGCCTCTCATCCCGTAGATGGGTACCAGTGGAAGGACCATACCGGAATACTGCAGAATGCCCAAATAGCCTATGCGTTCTCAGCGAATGGTCTGACATACTCCACAGGATCAAGTACGCATGACTTACCAATAAATCTACCCGGTATGTATGCCTGAACGTCAACGCTCTCCGAACGTCCGGTCTTACTTCATGCTGGCAGGCACGGACGAACCCACACTGTTCTTGCGAGCCGGACTGTCTCCAGGCTCAGCACATGGCCGGGAAGCGTGCATCGCGTGCATTACGAACTATCGGGGAGCTGTGGCCGACGGTTGGTGCAGTCATGTCCCCGGTGGGAGAGACATGTACGGCATCGAAGTCTCTACGCGGCCGAAGAGGCGTCGAGACTGATCACATTGTGGGAGGCTGTCAATTAAGACTCATCACGCTCTGGTCGACAACTTGGTCGGCCCGGACGGGGAGCTCATGGCTGGCTGCCTTGTCATCGTGGATCAGGAGCCGGTCACAGGAGGCTGGCTCGACAAGTTATATGCTCTTCATCACCCAGTTCGTGAGGTGCACCCCTTTACCGCCGTCTTCGTTCTCTGCTTGCACCCATGACACTGCCGCTCACCTTACTCGTTGCTCTCTTAGGCAGCTCCGTTCAAGCCGCATCCTACAGGCTGCAGAATGTGAACCCCGCAGTTGCGAACGTTACCATCTACCCCTCGCTCGACATGCAAGGCCTGAATCGAGACTCTTGTGTCTCCGTTGCGTGGGAACCCAATCAACCTGTGAGTGGGAGTACGGTTTGCATCAGAGCGCCCTAATGCCAAATCCTTCACTATCAGCTCTGGGTATGCCGAGACACGCAGCAGCTGCAGTCGAACGGCCAACCAGGCATAGGCGTCATCGCCAACACAGCGTCCTACTCTGGGATTCCATCCGACGTGTCCAACCCACAAGCGCTGGTCCTCACCTCCCCACAGGGCTTCGGGTCCCTCTTCTACCAGCTGGAGGCCGACGAGTGCCCCGAGTTCGGCCTCTGCTCAGACAACAGTCGTTGGGTTGGTTGGCCCAACACCGGGCCCGTCGTCACCTTCGCGTTTAATGGCGCTGTTTCTGCGTACCAGGTCCTCGGGCGCGTGCACCTCAACGGGCTGACTCAGATCAACGACCCGGACTTCTCCCTGTACCACGTTACGTCTCAGACCGCCGACCCGAACACGATCCCGGCTACCAATGTGAGCGTCTCGGGCTTCTGGACGTCGGACGAGGTCGGGTATGGCAACGACGCGAGCGTGGTCGCGAATGGATACGCATACCTCTATGGAGCAACTCCGAGCAGCGGGTTGGCCGTCGCGAGGAGCGCTCTGACAGGATTCCTAGGCAACCTGCAGGACAAGAGCCTGTATGAGTACTACGTCAACGGCCAGTGGCAGGCGGCCGTTCCGGGCAAGAACGACTCTGGCGTTACACTCGAAAACACGCGCTCGGCCCAAGGCACTGTCTACTTCTCCGACAAGTGGAACGTGAGTGGTACACTATGGGGTTTGCTGCAGTGCGTAGGGGCTGATATTGTCTCTGTACAGTCCTTCGTATGGATCGGGGGTGACGGGTTTCCGAATGCAAACTTCTACATCTCTACGGCGCCAAACCCTGAAGGGCCTTGGACATCGCCGACGGTGTGTATTCTTCTGATATGGACGTACTTGCGTTCGCTCTGATACCCTGATTCCTTTGCAGCTATTCTATTCGGGTGCTGTTGGCGACCCGAACACGCTCACGTACTCTACTGTCGCGCATCCCGCACTCACGGATGGCACTGGCGACTACATTTTCCTCGTGAGCGGCTCAAGGCCATATGACAATGGCATGGTTACTCACCATGGCTGTTTCCTTTCTCCTGCAGAGCTACAGTCGCGTGATCACCAACGCTGAGGGCGTCCAGGTATACGACCAGCCTCTGCTTCGCGTTGATTGGCAGTGAATATGGAGTACGTCTCAGCTGCCTGAGCCCAGATGTTGTTTGTGTCTGTGTTGAATTTCCTATACGACCGCGGTTGTGTCGATTCCGCACTTCGCGAACCTTGTGTATGAACACGAAGTGTCGATTGCGTAGCACGATATTGCTACCATCACCTCTTAGCTGCTCACTGCCTCGCAGCTGGCTAGCAGTGGGGCCGTGTCGAGACATTGTGGAATCACACAAGACCGCACACGGATGTCCTATTAGGTCAGGATGGAGGAACCTATTTGCCCTACGAACCTGGAAGGCCCATGAACATGTAAGCTTACATCTACAAGATCGCCGTTTTGGGGTCGTTGGGAGGTCTGTCCCGCGTTGAGGTCCCGAGGTATATGAGAATGACCGCGGTGCGTGGTGATCGCTTTTGATCGTGGAGGGAGCAAAATATGCGGTATCGCTGTCGCTCCGGAGGGCGCTTCATTGGCCACGAATATTGTCTAACAGGCATACGATACAGTCATGTATGCCGTGATGTGCATCATGACAACTTGGGACAGACACATAACATACGCTCCGAAAGTCGGACAATAAGACTATTCTACCCTTACCATCAATTGCCCCTGAGGTCAAGTTTGATGAAAACAACCTGCTCGCACACTGGGCACGCCATACGTGCTGAAAACTCGCGGATTATGCATCTGTATTGCCAGCTCAGGTCGATAGGATTGGAGTAGCCACAGAAATTATTGAAACGCACGATTGGCAGAAGATATGACCGCACATTGTCGCAACGGGATCCGAACACGGGTCACGAAGACAAGATCGACAATGCCACGACGGAAGGGCTGATTCACTTGACGGGAGTGCCCTACTCGGTTGCAGCTCGTCCTGAGCTCTGTTCCCGTTAAGCGATTGGGTCGTCCATGTAGGAGAAGCCGATGGACCTCCGCGGTTTAGAGGATCTTGTTCTCCTCTAGTGGCAGCCGTCTGGGACAGTCTGACAAACCAGTCGTGATAATCGATTGCGCTGCTCTGAGTGTAATAGCACGTACTGAACTGCTTCATCTTGCATCGGAATATGAGAACTACCTGCCGTATCAGAGAAGCGGCTAGAGACAGAAGTGTGATCATCCCAGTTGTGTTCAACTTGTGGAGGTGTGTTCGCTTCTCCGGATGGATCAGTCTGTCTCTGGAGACACAACTTGAAGCTGCAGCGCGACCGGTATCACAACACACGAACCTGTAAGGAAGGATATAACTGAGGCCATTCAGACTTCATTGAGGCGAAGGTTCTGGTGCGAGCTGCCTCCCAAAAGGCACCGTCCAATTCATCGTCTCCGCTGTCCATGGCTAAGGTTCGGTTGGCATCGAGGACGCCTACTGGAGGTGCCGTCCTAGACAGCATCGTTGTCACTGGAGCAAATGGTGAGCTTGCAGATATAGAGGTCATCTTGATGCGGCAACACTGCTGATGCTGTGGACGGATCAGACTCCATTTGCGCAAATCAGAGTGCAGGAAGTACCATTTGGAGCTCATCTTGCCCCTTGAATGCGTACCAACAGTTGGTGCATTTCGGGTGAGCCCGAGACTCCTGATAGTGGTTCTCTATAGTCGTCGCGAAGGTAATGTGCACGCTGCACACATCGCATGTCGTCCTCAAGGACATATGCTGCCGCATCACTTGTCAATTAACACGACGGAGGTGAATTAGCGTGAGGAAGTCAACGACAACGTACTTGTTTCAGCTGCTCCTCATTTCCGAAGGTGTTGATACACGCAGCGCATTTGAGGTGTTCTGGAGTGTCTCTAGACAGTTTTGTGTCATCCGCGGCAGGTTCCGGGGTCGTCATCAGACCACAGCCCCGTAGGTGCTGGCAGGTTTCGGGTTAAATCAGACGAATTGGTGATTGAAATGCGAGGTACCATCACAAGCTCATCGGACCCTCTGAATGCCTTCAAGCAAATTTCACACTTCGGATGAACCGACGACATCTGGTAATGCTCCTCCATAGTCAATGCGGGGAGAAGGTGTGCGACACAAACATCACACGTGATCCTCGCCGCCATATGCTGTGGCAAGGCCAGTTGGTAATGAGCAATGTACCGAAGAATTATCACACCTTCTGTAGCTCTATAGCATCTTCAAAACCCAGTTTGCATGCTGTACACTTCGGATGCTTAGGAGACTGTTGGTAATGGACCTTTTGATCGTCCACGAACTCCTTGCACACCGAACACGGATACATGGACGCTTGGGTCGAACGGTGCGTCGCATGGAAGATTGAACAGTGCTGTAGCCGGCACACGTTGAGATCGGCTCTGTATACCTGTGAGTCTGGGCACTCACCGTGGTGACTCCGTCCCAACTTCCAAAAATCTGGTTGCAAGCTGGGCAGTGGATGAATTTGGATGTCATGCGGTTCGACAGCAGGCCTTCCGTGCCTGCGGGGGTGCCCGATATAGTGACAGTGCTCGTCGAGGCGATTGGCTTGCCGCTCGTAGCAGGTTGGACTGATACAGGAGCGGTCCATTCATGTCCCTTGCTTCTGCCGTGCATCCTACAAGAATCTTCGTTCGTAAACATCTTTCCGCATTGCCAGCAACCGACAGTCTTCCGCTTCGCCATGGTTTTCTCGGGGATGACTAAGATGCAAACGTGAGCGAGTAGAACGATGGAGACGACGTTAGACTGTGAGAATGGTCAAGTTGTTGGTTGCAGGCTTTACCGCAGCACCAAAAGCTTGTAGAAGCGCCTCGCCACTTGCCGAAGTAGAGAAGAACTCACCAGACAGTAGGTTCACATTATTATAATGTAGCTGCATGCTTGGCTTCTCATATGTACATCTTTTCAAACACGTTCAACACCAAGCAGCACGAACGCTTATACCGCGGTACGATGTACCTGATTGGAGACTGATTCTCACGCCTCCTTCGTCATGCTTTCTGAGGTCACCAAAATACGAGATGCACTCACCGACTTTGTTCAAGTTCCTTGTACGATATGTGCCATCCCCATCGAGACGTCTCGTATAGTCAGACTCGCGCTCTGTCACTCCAATTCAGCTAGAGCACGCAACCGTCAGCTGGGCCACACAGTGCGATAACTTGAATGGAGTCGGTTCCGCGCGCGCCGTTTGGGGCCGATTGTAGATTGGCTGCAGCTGGCTTGGGCCTCCGTAAGTCAGATTCCGTGCTGGATGGCCACTGAGATTCGCTTGCTATCGCCCCGTTCTAGGGCTTTGCAGAACGATCACGCGTGCCGGAAAACACGTTCAGATGATTGTGGGGCCGGACCCCATGCAGTGCAACCTCGCTCATCTCTCCTCGCGTGCGCAGAGATCGTTCCTATTTCTCAATGTTTCGAATCAATGCCATGACGTCGATAGAGGTAAAGGTGTGTCGAGGAAGAGAGTGGCAGAGCAGCAATGACCCGTGAACGGCTCGCGGCGACTGGGCGCTGGATTACCTATTGGGGAAATTCCCAGGTATGTTCTTCGACTTTCGTTGTGCAGGGCACTGTCACGTTTATTGGCATGCCGTGTCTTGGAAGCGCGAGGCTCATCTCCGGCTTGCGGACAGTTCCAGTCTCGACGTCTCTACACCGTCCTCGCTCCTCGTTGCGTTCATCATGCTTTAGCGTCTCGAGCTCCATCGCTCGTGGAGTGCCACGTCGCGCATTCTCCATCATCCCGCATTCTCCAAGCAATCTCTTCGACTACACCTCGGGGCGGTGGATGTAAGTCTCGTACATGTTGCACTATGACGTACATGTCTGACCCGCATCTTAACGTGTTCAGCATAAATGATGCCCTTCGCCACGCAGAGCGCAGACGTGTGTTCAACGTCGATGGGCTATGTCGACTCGCAGCGCAGTCCGTCGACCGGAGCCCTGATGACATTGTCGACCTGACCAAACTCGCCGAGGGCGGGTTCAACCGTATCTTCCTCATCACCATGCGCGATGGCTTCCAGATGGTGGCGCGTATCCCGTACCCGGCTACGGTACCCAAGGATTTGGCTGTCGCTAGTGAAGCGGCCACTATGGCTCTACTCCGTTCCTCCGGGCTCCCTGTACCTGAGGTATACGGATACTCGCCTGTGCCAGACAACGCGGCAGAGACCGAGTATATCTTCATGGAATTCGTCATAGGGACAACGCTAAGCGACGTATGGTTTGACTTAGAAGAAGAGGAAATCGTTCCAGTCATGCGCCAACTTGTTGAACTCGAGTCGAAGATGATGTCAATCTCTTTCCCGGCTGGCGGGAGCCTGTACTACGCACAGGACTTGGAGAAGTTGGTCGGGACACCGGGCATCCCACTGGAGGACAAGCGTTTCTACGTCGGTCCAGACACAAGACTGCCTCTGTGGTCTGGTAGGAGGTCGCAGCTCGACGTAGATCGAGGACCATGTAAGACGTTTCCTATCTTTTCCATCACTTGCTCAACTAACTGGTGAGTATAGATGAAAACGTTGAAGCCGCACTCGCGGCACCAGCGTACAAGGAACTGGCTTATCTGAAGCAATTTGGTCGACCGCTGTTGCCTTTCGAGCGTATGAGGAGGGAAGCGTACCGGTATCAGGAGCAGCCGCCGTCGGATCACATCGAGAACCTGAACCGCTATCTCCTGATCGCGCCGTCACTCATACCCAAGAACCCGGTCCTCGGTCGTTTCTGCATCCGCCATCCCGATCTGCAGTCCGGTAATATCATCGTTTCGAGGTCGCCAGACTCCACCTGGCGCGTCGTCAGCCTGTTGGACTGGCAACACGCCCCGATCCTTCCCCTGTTTCTTCTTGCCGGTCTTCCCCAACGCTTCCAGAACTACGATGATCCCGTCTCGCAATATATGACGCAGCCTTCGCTCCCGAAGGATTTCGACGAGCTAGATGAGTCTAAGAAGAGCGACGCGAAGGAAGTATATCGTCGCCGCCTCGTCCACTTCCACTACGTCAAGAACACGGTAAAGTACAACAAACTTCATCACGCAGCGTTGAAGGACCCTATGGGCACGCTGCGCCGCCGCCTGTTCGGTCATGCGAGTGACCCATGGGAGGGCGAAACGCTCGCGCTCAAGGTCGACTTGATAGAAGCAACGGAGAACTGGGAGACCCTTGCGGGTGGAAGCGCGCCATGTCCTGTCGTGTTTGACCCCGAGGACGTACGCAAGACGATGAAGCTCGATGAAGAACAGAGAGGAGCGGACGAGATCATGGAGGAATTGCGGAACGGCCTCGGCTGCGGGTCGGACGGCTGGGTACCCACCGAGCGGTACGAGAAATCCATGGCACTCAGAAAGCAGATGAAGGAGCATGCGTTGGCGATGGCCACGCCGGAGGAACGTCCTGAGATCGTTGGGCACTGGCCCATGGACGACATGGATGAAGAGCCATACATGTAACTCGTCGAGTACAAAGGTGCGGTCGGAGGAATAGAAGAATGTAGAAAGTGTTCGCTCGCCCTAATTCGTTTGACGTTGACAGCGGCACCTGGTCCCTCGGACTCCCGTCCTCATCTCAAAGTCTACGGTCCAATGAACACGGAGATGAGTATTGCCAGAATACGCTGGCAACTCGCTCGCCATCGTACGTTCCCATGCCACTGCCACATGTCTTCTTGTACAGCCGATTTCGTGAACGAGGCTTGCTCTACATGTAGTGCTCGCATCACATGTAAGGCTAAAGCAGGAGATTGTATGTCACGACAGTCCGGTGTGGTCAAAATCCGAGAGACATCGGCTTGCACCGTGCTTAGACCAATATGGTATCTATCATGTGCAATCGTGTGGCCATCGGCCTCTCGTTCGCCATCGCGCCGTCCGCTCCACATGAAACTGTCTGTCACAGTTAGGCTTCTGTCCTAGGAGCGGCACCGCTTCCACATCTTGGTGGTAGAGATGATCAAGGTAGGGGTGTTAATGCAGAACAGCCTCAGTTGCCCATTGGAGCATGCAGGTCAAAAAATGCTTCATTAGGGTCGTGAGCGTCGTAAGCAACATACAGGATCAGTTCTTCGAGGAAGGAATCGAATGAAGTCAACGTCTGCCAAGCGCCGCTACAGTCGCCGACGAAGACATGGTCCCCGAAAGACACGCCGGCGCATGCTCAACACGGGCGCCCCGATCAAGAACGGGAGAATACAGTGACAGAGAAAAGAAGGCAGATTGATTTCACTGACGTGCCCACAGTGCTGAGAGCAGGGGATAGGGTGGAGGTATGGTCACAAGCAGTGTAGAACCCTTGCTCAGCACCGGGAGCCCCGACGTGAGGGCAACGATGACGATGATTTGGAGGGAAGGGAGGTAAGTGGATGGAAATGATGAGCACAGGCATCTTGAACACCCTCGAGGCCACCTCGAGGCATCGACAGGCACAAAGCATGCGTAGATCGTATCGATCCACGGGGCCGATCCCCAGCCTCTGAGAAACAAGAGCAGGACACGCGGACATACCGGACCTAATATCCGTGCATCAGTAGACTTGTTCTCAGAGCGCGCACAGCTCATAACCTATCTAGCCACCTGCGACTGCCACGTGCAGGGCCTCCTCAACAATGTTCGGAGCGGGAAACCTCATCAGCACTGGCACGATTGGGCCTCGATGTTGGATCACTTCAGGGCGGTGGGCGCTGTCGGCTACGTGGAGAGTTCATAAGCCTCTGATAAGGCACTTCCTGCGCAACCTGCTTGCAAGCTCTCCTCCCTTGACAAAGGCCCACAAATTAAAAAGAAGCTCAGAATGACCAACTATGCAGACGTCCAGGCGGAAATAACTGGCGCGACGTATGTGTCAAGTTCTGCCTCATAGAATCTACAACCTGACGCTTATGCTCCGAGTCAGCGACGGTAGCTCATTGGTCGATGCACGACCGCTGTGCTTGGTGCGTTCCTCATTGGAGCAGTTGGCCTCACAAACGTCTCTGTTAGCAGGTCTAAGACTATGTCTAGCACTGTTTGTCTACGACTTCCTTATCACCTTTGGCGATGAAGTCAACTTGTTTTGGCTGCCTCGACGGCTCAACGGACCCTCGATCCTGTTCTTTCTGAACCGGTACCTCGCTCTGACTGTCCAGTTATATGGCTTTACGCCAAAACCTGCGTCACATGAGGTATGTCCCAACCCACACGCTCACTCGTACAATGCTCAATATTGCCGCAGAGGTATGATCGCTGTGGCTGTCCCTGATGTCTAAAGCTGAGATAGACTTCCGATACAGTGTGAATGCTTGGTACACCGCTTTCGCTGTGATTGCGTCACCCCAAATCATTCCTTGGGCAGGTGCGTGGACTAGCTTCGATGGCATGTATGAGGGCTCAGTATCCGCATAGCATTCTCAGCCCTCAGATCATACGCCTTGTGCCCATCGCCACACAGAATGGCGATTTCGACTGCCGTCTTTGCTCTTTTCTCACTCCCCTTTGTAGTGAATATGATTGTGCCTACTCTGATCCATATCTTACACTATTGGCAGCCCTACAACAGAGTTTCCATTGAAAGGGCGACATAAATTCTGGTTCCTACACAGACATTCCATCGATTGGAGTCGTGGAAGTCGAAAACCTATCAGTGAGAGCCGATGAGATGTGAGTGAACTGGACGCGCGGTTTATGCGACACCATCTAATGCTCTCCATGATAGATGTTGGTTCATACATCATGACTTTGCCAGGCTTGCCGGCTAACATAGTCAAACATGGTGACCTTTTGACAGTATCCGTCGTGGCCCGTTCTTCTCTGATCGGAGCCGATGTAATCGTTATATGCATTACCTGGTACAGGACACGGGAGACTATCAAGATGTCCAAGCGCATCATAGCTGGCCAAAGTAGACAAACCTTTGCAAGCACCCTTCCCCACGATGGTGCGTCGTAACATCGAGCATTTACGGTTTCCGAAGTGTAATCGTTGTGTGTGATGGTGACATAGGGATGAGTTACTTCTTGTAGGTGTCAGCGGCTGTCTATAATTCTGGATGTCCTTCACATCACGTATGAACTACAGGACACTGCTGATACTGAACGGTCTCAGCATCGCATTCGGTCTGACTCTGGAAAGCTCCATTGGGGCACCAATCACGATTCTATCTCTACTTGAAGCTCCGTAGGAAGGCAAGTCAAAACCGTTCTTCATAATGCCGATATATTTCACTGAGTTTGGGTTGGCTACGACCAACAGCGCCGGAGTCACCATTTTGGGGGGAACATACGTGATGATTCAATCCTACTTAAGGAGGGTGCTACAACATTCTCCCCAGCATAACGTCGATCCTCATCTCGAGGTTCCTCATCGACCTGCAGAAGGTCAAGCGCGGGCTAGATGGATCTTCTCGGTCGATGTCAGAGCTCGCGTTCCAGTCTCACGCGTCACAAGACGTCGACGGTTTCATCGGATCCCTCGGGGCCCAGCTCCCATTTCATGATGATCAGTTGAACGAGGATGAAGATCAGCCTTGATCGGAGCCGTTTGGTGGGCGTCTGGGTACCTCCATATCTAGTTGAAGCATCTGTGGTTTCCCTTTGCTGTAGCTCAGGTGTGAAGCGGAGACACACTTTCGCTTCCCTTGTGAACACTGGGAACTCCTGGCCATCCGGTATATACAGTATACCACAACAGAACAGGCGAGTCGGTCGAGGAACGGAAGCCGCCGTGGCCGACTGCGTCGAACAGCCGGGCTTAGCTGCCGTAAGGGGAGCCCGACAGCTGCCCAATCCTCTCCATCGCGTCCAGTTCAGTCGGTCTGCACCTCTCAACGCCGCTCTCGATGGGGATGACATATTCCTGATTGAAATGGATGAATGGGCGTGGTGCGTCCGTGGCCTGTTCAGTTACAGCTTCGACCCAGCCACGTACTCGTCCGTCGCCTCAACACGGTACCCTGTGCCTTGGAGGCAACCCGACACGGGCGGAGAAAGCCGAGGCGCTTTCAATCACGGTGCGAGCTGTCTGATGCCTAAGGTTACAAGTTATCAACACAATTACAGAGGTGTGGCAGCAGGCTGTCTCTCGTGGCCTACAGAGACAATACATAGTGAAGAGACGATCCGATGAGCTGGGCAGATGGTGATCTTGATTCATCACTCGCGTGTGTCAGAGCGCCGACTCCGAACTCGGGGCTTGTGCTGTAAGGGCTCAAGATATACCGGCATCTTTCTCTCTAGCCAGCCTGATAACGCAATCATGGACACGAGGGACAATCAGCGCAAAGGGCGGTCAGCACTCGAGCATGAGATCTGTGAGTCCAACGGAGCAGCGGTATTTGAACGGCTGAAATTTTCAGTCATTGTAAACGGAGAACTCCTATATTGTGTGCCGCGAGCATAGTACATTACGGTCAAACGTTCTATACATCAAGTCTGATGAAGAACGTGCGTTCACAAACGGGACATGCCAAACGCGCTAAGAGCTCCCGAACAATGCACCTAAAGGATAAGCGACATTCCCTTAGCGGAAGATTGCAACAGAAGACAGAGGATCGCCGACGCGCACCCTTCGCAGAACACATGGCCGCATACCGTCGCGATGGGATCCTTGCAAGGGTCTCGGAGGCAGGATCGACAATGCCACGATGGAGAGCTTTCTGGAGCTCGCGATTGTGTCATCGTATTTGGCTCGCTGTCAGCCTCAACTTGCTTTGCGGGCGGCGCTCGGAAAGCTGCGTCCGGAGTATCTGACGGGCCGTTGCTCAGAGCAGAGTGTTGTGGCTCGTCTCTTCCGGACACTGTTTGGAACGGTCTGTTGGTTACAATGAGCATTCGTAGCCCGTCGCTCCCACAGACGATGGCTTACTGATAGAGCGAGCCGCCATGATCCAGTGGGGCTTCTGACTGAGTTGGGGCGTTGGACAGGCTTGCCATCTTCAACGAACCCCTGGATATAGAAGAAACATCGTCCTCGTCCTGCATGACTACAAGACGGTCTTCATCGACATCGACAACAGACGAGGCCTCTCCCTGAGGTTCGTCTCTCTGGGGAAGTGTTATGTACAGAAGGATCAAGGAACAACATATGCTCACCTGGTGGAGTACGTCCTTTTCAGACTGACTGGGGCTGGGGGAGACGGGGAGTTCAATAGCGGCGGCGCCCCGAGTACCCTCTGAATCATTCTGTTCCTCCCTTTGACCTTCGGAACCGAGGGGCTCCAGTAACTCCTCTGCAACAGGTGTCATATCCGCAATTACTGATGGTGATATCAGGCGGCAATCTCTGCTATGCTACAAAGGCTTCAGACTCGACGAGCAGAGATGAACGCGGACAGAAGGTACCATTTCGAGCTCGTCCCGATCCTTCAACGCCTTCGAGCAATTTCCGCATTTGGGGTGTTTTGACGACAGGCGGTAGTGTTCGTCCATTGTGACTGGAGGTACGATATGTTCGTTGCACACGTCACAGGAGCCTCTTCCCGCCAGATGCTGTTGTGACCTCTGTGAACACAAGCAATAGAATGCAAGGACGGCGCCAACCTTCTGGAGCTCCGTAGTATCCTCGAAACCATCGGAACACACCGTGCACTTCGGGTGTTTGGGTGATCGCCGGTAATGCTCTTGCTTGTCCACCACGAATGTCTGACATACGGAACATGGCTTCCATGGTGATGTTGCATGCACGATGGGGTAATGCTGCGATTCCGCCCACGTTGAGTAATCAGATGCGCAGGATAACGAATGTCGCTTACGGTAGAGAGTCCGTCCCAGGTTTCGTACCGCCCGCTACATTCTGGACAATAGAAGGAATCTGATGACAAAGACGAGGCTGGCTTGGTCTGCGCGGAGGCAACAGACCTAGGCAATGCAATGGTCGCATTCGTTGATGCCGGTACAGCGACCTTGTCCGTCGATGTCGTCGGCGTAGTGCTGGTGGGCGGCTGCCACTGATTCTTGCATTTCCAACAAGTGACATTTGGCAGATTCCTATTCTTCTTCCCCATCACTCTATCGGTGCGGCAGGAGGTATCAGCGCGAAGGGAACTGGAGGCAATGCTGGACTCGGCCAAGGAGATGAAGACTTATACTCGTGCAGCGATAAGGTTGACCGCAGCACTGAGAAGCTCTCAAAGGCGCCTCGTGGCTTACCAAGGTCAGACCGCTTCGCGTTAGGAAGCGTTCAAGCACGCACGTCCCCATACTCAACCTCGACAAAACGGAAATGCTTGAACCAAATGGCCCAATCCCTGGAGGGTGGTCGTTTGAAGCTCTGTTGTTCGGGACCCATATACATAAATGACAGCACAGGGATGCTATAATGGTATGCATCAATCCTAAGCTAGAAGATAAGGATGGAATCACGAACAGATGTCAGCATCTTCATGTCGTCGAACGTCTCGCCGCAGCACACAACAAGAACCTGCGATGCTTCGTCTTTCCTCAGGCCATGAATGTCATCATTGACAGAGTAGGAGGAATCAAGATGACTGCGCGAACTCAACCGCTTGCAGTGGAACGCTACCGCAGTACACCATACCTTCCTACATTAGTTTCATTCCCATGCCTCAAAGGGCTAGCCAGCTGAATTTCCCAAGCTGCCCCGCATGATACAAGAGCACGCGGGCAGCATGCTGCAGCACATGCCACCCAACAACTTCGATTTGGAGGATCGTGACCTAGAGCGCGGATATGTGCCACGTCAACGCCTAACGTCATATGTGGAAGGACGAGGGTATTCTCGAGTGGGACCGTGAGCTCTCGACATGAACTTCCTGATTCCATGATAGGGCTACAGGGGAGGCGAAGAAGGTGAGGAAACGATCTCTTGCCAGAAACTCAACCCCTGCTTAGTTGAGCGGGGCCAGAGCATAGACGAGATAGCTGGGGTCTGAAGGGGCATGCCGACGAACATCCAAGGGGGTGCGGAGACGAGTGACGCGAGACAGGACACGGAGTACGCGTGCATGGCACCGAGCGAGCACAAGACAAGGCCACGAAGACGAGCCATGTTGCATGCAGGTTATAACACACGCAGCAGTCGCGGAGGCGATGAAGCCCGAGACTGACAAGAGTGAAAGATGGTCGCTTCTTGCAGCTCGAGCCTCGAGGCATCACGGTGTTGTTGTAGACGGTGTTGTTGTAGACGCCCTGTCGATTGGCGTGAGAAACAGAGATGTGCTTGACCCCAGGACCCCGAAAGTCGGCAGCGGTGACTCCTCGTGAGGCCTAATGGCTCAAGCTTTCTCTCTGTTTCAGCTTCCAGAGTTCTGGCTTTAGTGATTTATTGAAGCTATGACATGCAATCGGTAGGGAAACCATAGACTCTCTCACGCCTGACCCCCGGTGTATGGCAGCTCGCACCCTTGCGCGGCATGCGCAGCACCACCTATTGCCTGTGTGGATCGGCACGATAATACCCCAAGTTGTTTCCTTTAACTGTCAAGCAGTTGAGATAGTTCAGCCTTGAATTGATGTACAAAGGCTCAAGGAGATGGCGAGCTGCGGCACAGCAAGACAGAACGAAACGGAGAATCATGCTGCTGCGGTAGCTATTGATCTACCGGTGAGGATCGACTCTTCCCACCATTTGATTCCCAGCAAGACATGATGGCAGACGAAGTTATCGCTATTTTATAACCTACTACTTGTCAGCGAACTGAGCAGAGTTAACCGGATAAACCGATGAGGCGCTTGCGCTCAATTACTCCAAGGTTGGTGGTGCGTTCCCGCTACCCATCATTACCGAGACACCCTCGCTCGTCACGTCGTTAATTGTCAAGAAGACTGTGGCAGGACCGGGCGGAAAGACCCGACCGCTCGGAGGTGTGGTGAAAGTCAACGACTCCCCGTCATCCGAGATGGTGGCGTCCATGAAGACAAGCCGTGCACCGGTGTGGAAGCCATGGGTGGAGAAGCCGAGGTCCATGAGCGATACTGTCGTCGAGCATCCCGTGCGTCAGCGGTTCATGTTCAGGAGACACTAACAAGACGACCGAGCGGCATACCTTGGATCGTAGCATTGTCGTTACTGAGAGTGTCAGGAACAGATATCGGGATAGTGACGCTGCTGTTGAATGCGAGCTTCTGGGGAGCACTGATGATCGTCGGCCGCTCAACGAACATGAACGGTGGGTCAAGCGTCTGCACCCTGAATTCGCTCGGGAACTTGAAGTCCGGCCCCGTGAAGTTGCTCCCGTTGTTCGGGTTGCTCCCCGCGACGAGGAAGTTCCCCTGTGGCGTCAGCGTGATGCTGGAATGGTATACGCGCGCGATCCCAGAACTCAGCATCCCCTCATTACTGAACCGCTGCCCAAGCGGTGCGGACGGCGTATAGAGCTCGGGTACGAGCACGGCGTTATCCGCATTCGAGTTCCCGACAGGGTCTGCAACGCTCCCGTAACCAGCAAAGCCGGTCCCAGCCCCGTTTGCGATGAGGATTTGGCCGTTGGGGAGGTGGAGGAGCTCGTGTAAGGTGCGGTTCGTGAGCATTTGCTCGACCTCCCAGCCCTTGGCAATGCCCTCGGGCGTGAGGGTAATCCGGGAGCACTGTGATGTCGCAGGAAATTGGCTAGAGAGGTTCTGGACGGGGATACGATCGTCAATGCTTGAACCACCGCATACTAAGACCTCGGGAATGAAGTCAGGAGGAGAGAGAGGCAGGAGGACGGCAGAGCCGTCGGTCGGGTTGGAGACGCGGACGCCGTTCGGGATATCAGGGAGAATAGTCTCGGTGTTAGTTTCGACGTCGTAAATAATCGACTGATTGTTGGCCACCATAAACACAGTGCCGTCGGGCAAGGCAAGAATACTGCAGCGGCACAGAATAAGTCATGACAACATTACGTATCAATTGATGACCTAAATACGCACCGCGGGAACAGGTTCGCAGGCAGACTTCTCTCCAGGAACGCGGACGGACGGACGGACTCTTCCTTACGAGGGAAGAACTCAAAACTGTTGGCGGGATCGATGTTGTAGAACACTGCTTCCTCATGCATGCCCCCCACGATGATGAGACTGCCGTCGAAGATGCGCGCAGCCGAGGGGTACCACCGCTTTTCGAGGAGGATCAGGTTGGGGTCCTCGAAGAGGCTGCAACCCTCTCCCGTGAGCGATGCGCACGGATCGAACAAACGGATCGCCTGAGTTCCAGGCTTGATGGTTGGGTTCCCAGTGAATCCCGTCTGGTCTCCGCCAATGCTCGCCTATAGCCAGCATCAGCTTTGCAGCGCACACTGCAGTCAGACATCTCACACTTACCATTGTTCCATTGCTGAGGAACGCACCGCTGGCACAGAAAGAGTTGGTAATGACGTTCAGGGGTGTGACCTCCGCCGTCTGGAGATTGAAGAGAGCGCCCCATGCGGAGTGGTTGTTGATCTGAAGAGGGTCGTTGGACGCACGGTCGAACCAGAGCGCAAGGTTGGGGTTGACGATGATCGACTCGAGGGCGACGATACCAGACGACTGTGCCTTGAGGTTGAACTGCCAATCTGGGGCGCCAGATGTGGCAGATAACAGGGCTGCAGAAACCAAGAAGATTGAGAGGATAGACCGCATCTTGGCGTGACCTGCTGGGGCGGTCGCAATCGGTCGCTGGGAGGTTTTTATAGCGAGTCCGTCTACGGTCTAAAAGGTTAAGATCATCCTTTACGATTCAGTTGAGCATGACCCGCGCCATGTCCTCAAGCTTCGTGCACACAGGACATGGTCATGAGCTGGGTCGAGGCGCCAAGGATGCTATAACAGAAAGTACACTAAGCTGGCTGGTATGGTACGCGGTCCTATAGCTGCACCCACTATTGTAGTCGCGAAGACCATCGTGGGGTCGCCATGGCTAATTGTAGAGCGCTGCCGCTTGTACGTGCGAGCTTGCTCTGGACAGAAGGAACTAGCTTGAGTAAAGTCATTGAATAGTATCCACCCACCGATGCACGGCCGTGTCAAAATCGAGGCTGAATATGTCTCTAACGTTCACTAGCCTCAAGTTTGAGGGTTGACACAGACGGACACATGATTAAGCTCATCCACGACGTACCTGGGGACTTAGCATGGAACCCCGGCGAGCTACGAGCGCAAGGCCGCCCTGAGAAAGATCAGTCCAGCCCTATGACAGGCAGAATTGTCTCATAGCTGGCGAGCGAAGAAACTCAGCCTATTTCGAGAAGGTACACAAATAGGCAGGACCACTAAGCGGCAAAATTCGGTTCGCAGCGCACAACCAAGTGTCTCGGCGCCACTGGCCGGCCTCGGCGAACGCACCCACCCCTGACGCAGAACGGCTCTAGCTGCCGATTGGAAGAAAGGAGAATGCCAATATCTAGGCATGGGACCCACGGCTTGAAGCTTCGCCTTCTCGCTGCTGCGCTCTTCAACAACCCTGGTCCACCGGGTCCACGAGCCTGCCGATGCCGACCCCGACCCACTAGACGCTCATGTAGTCGCCATGTTTGGCGGTTTCCTGACGACGTCAACGCGTGTCGTGATTCCGGACATGGTAATAGAGCTAAGAAGTCAAGTCTTTCCCCAGGAAGGAAAGGTCATGTGGATGTGAAGATTTGATGACTGAGCGAGGCCGGGGTTGACCGCTGATCAGAATGGGGGTGTGCGAGAGAGCGGATGAAATCTTACGCGGAAGTCCCGTTCAGACTGTCTTCTTCGTCCACAAACGTGTTCAGAGGCACCTCCTGAGGCTCAATAATGCGTCGACTTCGACAGGGTAAGGAACGATAGGAGTCGTGTTGTCCAAATATGGTCGATAAACAGTTTGATCGAGCTACAGATACAACGGCGACAGCTAGAGAGACAATCATAGAGACATCCTGCTCCTCTTCATCAGCACATCGATGATCGAAATAAGGAAGAGACTCACCTAACCTAACGAAACACATAACATAGCCACCCCTCAATCAATCTCCACGTGCAACCTAAGCAGCATCATCTTCTTACAAACAGGGCAACCCCCGCTCTTCAGCAGCTCCTGCACAATGCACCTGCCACGACCGCTCCGTGTCAGCTCCCTACCCCACACACATCCCAATCCCAGAACGCGGAACATACCCGGTACAGAACACGTGCCCACACGCGGTGGCGGTGGGCTCGACGCATGGGTCCTGCATGCATATCCTGCAGTGCCACGAGACCTGCACGGAGACGGGCTTCGACGGGGCCACGAGGCTGGGAAGCTTCGGCTTCGGCGTCGGCGTGAGGGCCTGTGGCGGCATGGTGTCCTCCGTGTCCGATTCCAGACGCGTGTCCACAACCAGCGAGGACCTGAGCGTAGAAGATGACCGCGGGACAGCCGCACTGAAGACCGGAGTCATGGGCCCACGAGACATCGATCTCGTCGAGAGGATAGGCGAAGGGATCCTAGGGGTCGGCTGCCTGCTTAGGCTCGGGCGCGGACTAGGCGTGACCCCGCGAGAAAGGCGCTCGGAGATGGATGAGACAGACCGAGTGATTTGGATAGATATTTGAGGGTGGGGAGACGCGCTCTGGCTGATCAGGCTCGCAGCGCGTTCCGGGACAGGTTCCACAATCGTGGTGGCGGGGGCTGGAGACAGGCAAGGGGACGAGAGGTTGTACATAGAGTCACCGTTGTTCCGCGACTGCGGTCGCGAAATGATGGACGGGGCGGACTGGAGCGATATGGTCGATTCGCTGGCGGGGCGCAGAGCATACCGGCGGAAGCTGCTATACGGGTCAGGTGATGTTCTGAAACTTAATAACAGTCTTACTCAGGGAAGTCCACGGAGCGTTCGGAGAGTGTTGGAGAACGCCAAGCACTAGTGGCTTCGTCCTGAACACTGTATGGACCTGACGATGCGTGTGATGAACAACCACCCGAGGTCCGTCTACCCATGAGCTTACCAATCGAAGACACAGTGGGAACCGTAGGCTCGGATATTGCCCTTTGAACGTGCGACGAAGCTTCGACAGTCTGGTAAGTCTTTGGCCCGCCGTCAACCGCTTAAAAGGCCCGAAGTGAAGCGAAGAACATACATCATCATCGACATCGGACTCACTCTTAACCTCGGTCAGGAACGCCACCGTCGGTATAGCCAAGGAAGCACGTTGCACCATCGGCGAGGACTGTGTGGATAGCATACTGGAGCCCTGGACGTCGAGGGATGATGCCTAAGCGTTGCATAGGCATGATTGAGACATCACGATGGGCATAGAGACTACGAAACTCACGGCGCCACTTTGGAGTGCTTGCTGTGGGACGGGCGAGGGCGACCTAGGTGGCGGCGATGGGATCCGGGGAGGGGGTCGCGGGTGGTTCGTCGACATATGCTATCGAATCCATAAGGCTCGTGCAAATCTCATTCCATGGCGCACGGCAAACCTTGTCGCAAGCCTCGTCGTCTGCGAAGCCAACCTCGCACAACGCACAGTGCGGGTGCGCAGATGACACGTGGTAATGGTTCTGCAATTCCTCGGCAGAACGGAACTGTCTGTCGCACAGACGGCAACGGCCCTCAAGGTGAGCGGAGGACAGATGCTGCATATGCTTCGTTGAGGGGACAAGCCTAAGGTCGGAAATGGGATCTCGCACCTTGTCAAGCATAGAGTCGTTGGCAAACCCTTCCCCACACACAAAGCAGACCGGATGACTCCCGGACTCCCGATAGTGCTTCTGCTGGTCTCCTGATGCATACTCGCGCCCACAAGCACACTTCACCATCGGAGGATGAGCGGCCGCGACATGCTACAGCAAACAATGCTCTGAATGACACGCACATACACCCAGCTCACCACGATGCTCACCTCCTCAAGCTGAACCTTATTCAGATACACCGAGTCGCATTGCGCACACTTGGGATGCGCAGCCTGGTGCAGCTTCAATTGCGTCTGGTCGACGAACGCCGAGTTGCACTGGGGGCACTTCGGGTGCACGGGGAAATGCCTGAAATGGATCGAGAGCGCGTCTGCGGACGAGAACTCGAGTCCACAGGGCGCGCATTTGAACGGCTTTGGGGCGTGCTTGCTGGCATTGTGCTGATCGTACGTCGCCTTGTCGCGGAAGGAGACGCTGCACACCTTGCATTCGTACGCGGGCGGCGAGAGAGTGCTGGAGGAACCGATGGCAGTCGAGGTCGAGGCAGACTTGGCAGCGCTAGAAGTTGACGCGGGAACGGGCGCTGGGGCGGGTGCCGCGGCGGCCTGCCGGGCGACGAGGGGCGACCTGTACGGGTGACCCTTGTCCCTGCAGTGCTGAAGAAGAGCAGCGTCGTTCTTGAGGACTCTGTGGCAAGTGATGCATTCGGACATGGCTGTATATGTGGAAGGTGTTAGACGGAGGAGCTCGCCTATCTCGACTCGCGGGATCCAGTTATAGTGAGGCCAGCCAACGCGCGTCGGCCTCGAGGTAACCCACCTTGGAGCGTCCTGTGGTCCGCCTGTCCATAATACCACTTATCCTTGAGGACTCTGCACACGTCCGGCGAGGGGGTCGCGCCCCTGAGAAGGGCTGCAAAAAGGAACACATCTTATCGGAAGCGAAGAGCGCACGACATTACTCCGTCAGCTGGCATGCTCACATCGACTGGGGGCAGGTCGAGGTCTCCGTTGCAACGTGGGAGCCACGATAAGATGCCCTCAAGGACGAAGCTGTTTCATGCATGGGAGCACAATATGAATGGCGGACACGACTTCCGACCTAATCGAGGAACCACTTGTACGCTTCCTTCCATGCCGCCTTGCCATCCTTCTCAATCACGTCCTACGGACACCATCAGCACAGTCGTGACACCGAATCAAGCTAGCTTGTCACGCACCCCATGGCATGGAATGATCCTCTCGAAGTCCCAGCCTGCCACTGCCTTGACGTCCCGTTTCATGGCTCTGATAGGTGGGTCTGTTCAGCACGACAGTCACGGAACCTGGCCATGATCTTACTCCTTGTCGGTCCCAAGCGTCCACGCGAACCTCTTGTGGGCCCATGTGTACGGATTCAAATTGCCGAAGATTGGGAACTTCCCGGACGAACCGGTCATAGAATACTGCACCACGATTCGTTTTCACCAGCGAGTTTGTGATGTGAGGGTTTGCACATACCTGTTCCCGGGCAGGAAGGTTGAACAGCAGGTCGGCTTCGAGCATCGTCTTGGATGCAGGGTGGAAGAATGCGACATCTTTGTTCTTGAATCCGGAGAAGTAGCTGCTTTGGATTGAGCGACAGTCGAATGCAGAAACCTCCGGGAAGCCACGCACCAGTGCTTGATCTGCATCGTCCATCCCGTCAACCCCAGAAGACTAGAGCGAAGTGAGGTAATCGCTCACATCATCCTCGAAACCGTACTTCGTATCCGGGCTATCCTTGCCCCACGCTGTCCCCCAAAATGAGGCACTGCTCAGATTGCTCCATAGCCGCAGCACGTACCGCCGTCAAACTGGAGGCCTTCTTTCTTCTTCTTCTGAATCGCCTCGTCCACAGCTATGAGCTTCGCCTCGGGGAACTCCTTCTTGAAGTCTCCCAAGAAGAGATGGTGAACGGCATCCGGCCCAATGATCCACCTTCGCACATCCGTCTTATACAGTCGCAGGCACCGTGCACAAAGGGATTGACTCACTTTACAGGACCAAGCTCCTTCAGCTTATTCTTGACGGTGTCGTCCAACGGCGACGACGCGAGCACCCACACGTCGCCATTAGTGAGCTTGATGGCCGTCGAGCGAGCGCCGACGGGGAAGACGTTGAATCGAGAGAAAGGGCTGCGTGTGTTACGACTCTCCAGTTTGCAAACGGGCGAACATTGACAGAACTTACCAAGAGAACGTCCAGACGTCCTTCGTCACCTTGTATGAGCACGCGCAGCAACGTCGTCGTCAGCTAGCCTTCCCGGCATTTCTACCAAACATGCCCACCTCGCGTATAGCGCACTTGGAAGTCATGGTGAGAAAGCGAGTGCTCAGATACCGTCAGAGTTCGCCCACCGAGAAATTATGTGGTGAGACGGAGGAGAAGCGATGTGAGAATCGGGATGCATGTTTGCCGATCCGACGCGCGACATGAGCAGTGTGAACGACGAGAACGCGCCTGGTGACGTCGCTCATTCCGCGCCAAGCGCGCGAGCCCAAATACAGTAACTGATCAATAGCCCACAGCGAGTGCCTTTTGATCATCCCAACTTTCTTCAGGCACGTACATTCAGAATATACATTATCGACATTCAACATTTCATCTACAGGTGCAGCATTTGACCGAAGAACTCCCCCTTAACAAACGGCTTCTGCTCGTCTCAGACGTCAGAACCACTGTAACCAATGCGACTGGGTCTAAGACAACTACTCACCGGGCGCACAGGAGGGTCAACTTCAATAATGCATACTGACCTTCCTATAGCCTTTATTGCCAGAGCATCATGCTGGTAATCTTTGCTAGGATTCACCTTCAACATGATCAACCAACCGCGCGGAAGGAAGGGCGTCAAGAAGGTCAGAAGGTCCAGAGACCGTGGACGTGTTCTAACAACTTCGAGGATTGTCTGCTCCAGATCCAGGCTGTCCAATAACGTCAGATAGTGCCCACTCCTGATGCAGGTGTTCCCTTACCGTCCTTGCCTGTGCCTATTGATCAGCTCGACAAGTTTGCCGTGAAGCGACGGGTCACTCTGGAACTCGAATGTGGCGAGCTCGATGAAGTGGAGCACATCTAGCAGGAGGTGTGGTTGGCAGACAGGCCGTATTCCTACATAAACGCGACGGCGCATGAGACGATGTGTGCAAGTGACTGATACTGTTTCACTCACTGTTGACGACATCTGTCGTAGCAGTATAGAGAGTGGTGCCGCCATTGCTAACCTCTGGTACCATCGCTCGGGCCTGGTCCAGCGCTAAAGTGAGCAGATCGATGTCGAGCGTCGGTGTCGCCGATGGGCAAGTCATAGTGGAACAGTGAACCTTGTTTTCGATAGGCCGTCGATAGGTCGATGAGGAATGTGGCGAGGGTCGTGACGGACAGCAGCATTGCAAGCGGAGCTGCTTATATAGCGCATGAAAGGATATGATCTGACTTTGTTTCGCACAAGGCTGTCGTTAGCCACGTTCAGCGTCGAAGCGTATATTAAACATCTAATTTTACGTCGCCCATATGTTGGCAAAACACAGCCGCTTTGCGCTTCAGATGAATACGCTTTGTACCTTGTGGCGGATCCTGTACAAAATCCAAGGCTTAGCCATGTGATAACAGCAAAAGACCAAATGAGAGCTGAGATAATAGGAATGGGCAAGCGAGTCGCGCTCAAGGACGATGCGACCTATGCTCCGGAGCATCGCGCTAGATCCTCCTTAGCAGGCCCGTCCGTTGCCGACGACGCATGTCATTCTCCGTACGTCCCCATTTCTGAGCTTGATGATCGTCGAGCGGGCACCGACAGGAGAAAGGTTGGTGGAAAGGGATGGAGAACCACGCGTGCTGTTGATCTATAGTGCCTGACAATGACACGCAACAAGGTTCCTTACCGGGAGAACGTCTAGACGTCCTTTTTGCCTCCTGGTTGGAGACGCACAGCAGCCTCGACGTCGGCCAGCCTGTCCAATGAGCACGCCGTTTAGGCGGACAACATCGTGATCGTAATATTGCGTGTATTTACACAAGGGTCTGACCAAATACCTGTCCCCTAACCAACGGCCTCTGAGAACTATTTGAGTACCATCGTAAACGAGGTGACTTGGTCCAAAGCAACTACTTACTGGGATGACTGGAGGATCGAGTTCCACTAGGCGGACAAGCCTCGGTCCAGGTGCCACTATTGCAAAAGCGTCGTACCGATCGTTTTTCTCAGGGTTCCTCTTTAGAGTTATTGTCCAACCTAACGGAAGGAAGACAGTCAGGAAAGAAAGAAAGTCGGGAGCCCGTGGACACGTCTTGGCTATCTCGAGTAGCGTCTTCCTCAGGCTCAAACTGGTATGGCCAAAGCCCGAGTCAATCAATGTACGCTTCCGAGGTATGTGTTCCCTTACCGTCCCACTCTGTGTGCTTCGATCACTTCGACAACTTTGCCGTGCAGCGAAGGGTCCGTCTGGAACTCCCAAGTCGCAAGCTCGACGAAGTGGAGTATGCCTATCACAGATTGTGGTGGGCATTTACGGCGCACCCCTGCACACGAATGACGAGACGTGAGATACTATGTGCAAGTTGCGAAGGGTTTGTTTTCCTTACTATCAATAGCAACTGCGCTAGCGAGGCGACGAGTTGATTGGTCTACTACGTCTACCATTGCTCGAGCAAGATCCAGCGCCAGAGCCAACTCATTGATATGAAGCTTAGCTTTGGCTGATGATCTAGGCATATTAGTACGGCCAGAAGTTGTGTTGTGAGTCTGGAGTGAGAGTGAAGAGAGGATGAAGTGGGACAGACACTACAGTGGCGAACGCACGATGTTGGCGCCAGTACTGCAGGATCAGCTTTTTTATGCTGCACCGGAGGATGCGCTCTACCTTGGTCTTGCACAAGGCTCCCGTCTGTCTAAGACGCTTGGTACGGTCAGCGTTGTACAGGGTCGGAGTCGTATCTTGGATACCACTCTTCACGCCACAAATATCGGGACGAACCACAGTTGCTTTGCGCTCGAGACAGTTACGCTTTGAGTAAAGGACCTGTCTCCTAGCATCAAGGGAAAGTGCGACGGTGTGAACATGGCGGCGAGAGGTCAAAGCTGGGATGATGAAGGCCGGCGGTCAAACGAGCCAATGTAGGGCGTGGGAACGATGACATATACGATCGAATCTTGCGCGATCTGAGCAAGATTCGGATTGTCCGTCCTCGCGAGTCATCTCACTCCGTTCCCTTTTGATTCCGCCAGACTGTTCATGGATATGGATCAAGACCTACCAGCGACAATACGCTCCATCGCTCGGCTAGAAGGTCCGTACATGCGCGCAGTAAACATGAAGCAAACTCAAATTCCCTCCTGCAGGCCACGAAGACCGCGCATGGCACGTCGCGTGGAATCCTACCAAACCCATTCTCGCCTCCTGCTCTGCCGACAAGACCGTCAGGCTGTACAGCTACTCTTCGTCGTTTGATAGCGATGCGTCTGAGGCTCCGTCCGTGAAGTTCTCGCACATCACAAACATCCCGACCGGGCACGCGAAGACCGTCCGCGCGATCGCGTGGTCGCCCTCGGGCAAAACACTCGCGACGGCCTCGTTTGACTCGAACATCGGCGTGTGGGCGCAGGAAGGCGGTGAGGACGAGGAGGATGGCGCGTCTAATCCGGCACGGGAATGGGAGTGCATGAGCCTGTTGGAGGGCCACGAGACGGAGTGCAAGAGCGTGGCGTACTCGAGCTCGGGGAACCTCCTCGCGAGCTGCAGTCGCGACAAGACCGTGTGGATATGGGAAGGTGCGTGCCCTCGGCCTGTTGCTCGTGCGCACAGGCTTCGGCGGCTAAATACGCGATCACGCAAATCCCACCTGGTCCAGTTCACCCGGATCATGACTTCGAGTGTATGGGGGTGCTCATGGAGCACACACAAGATGTGAAGGCCGTCGCATGGCATCCGACCGAAGAGGTCAGTCGCCCTCTTCTCCTTCCGTCTCTCCTTCCGCCCCTGTCTCTCAACCGGCCACCCAGCGCAGATCCTCGCATCTGCTTCCTACGATGACACGATAAAGCTGTACATCGATGACCCCCAAGAAGACTGGTATTGCTTTCAAACCCTCTCCGGACACGGATCGACGGTCTGGGCGCTCGCTTTCTCCCCAGACGGCCGCTTCCTCGCTTCAGCCTCGGACGACACGACTATCAGGATATGGGAGCGCGTGCAGGAGCACAAATGGGAGTGCATAGACACGCTCTCGGGTCATGAGCGGAGCGTGTACTCGATCAGCTGGGGCGTCGGGAAGCCGCTTGACTCGGGTGATCCTGGAAGCCTTGGGTGGCTCGCGAGCACCGGCGGTGACGGTATAATCAATGTCTGGGAGCTCGGAGTGAGTGGCGCCGTCTTTCACCTCAGGCTTTGCCTTGCACGTGGAGCTGATTAGGCGTCCAGGTCGGGCCTAGCGCGAAGGACCCGAGTCGTAAAACCCTCACACAGAAGATCATCGCGAAAATCACCAATGCGCACGAGGTCCACGACGTCAACAGCATCGTGTGGTGTCCAAGAAAGGGCTTTGAGGACCTCTTCGCCACCGCAGGTGATGAGGGAGTTGTGAAGGTATGGAAGGTGGCATCGTCGTAGTGTGTTCTAGCACCGGCGATTGTAGCACAGGTAACGTAAGAAGTTCCATATGCTGTAAGAGAAGACAATAGGAAGGTATGACTGTCGCCATCCCAGCTAGCTGTCATCGACAGGGACGCCGCAGCACATACATTATGGTCCTTTGTCCTGCAGAAGGTTGCCGCTCAGCCACACGAGGCGCTCGCTCCGTTTGACTCAATCGTCTTGATCTTCCCTTTCCCCCTTATATATGCACAAACTTAGCCCCTCAAGACCAATATCTTTCTGCTCCCTTGTGAATAGCCCACATCATGAGCACGGCTTCCCGTGATCCACGCACGCCAACCTCAGCACGCAAGCCCCCTCGACCCACAACGGACGCCCACGTGTCTGCAGCCCCTTCCAGCGCTTTTCTCGAATCTTTCATACTCACAGTTGCGCCGGCGCAACTCTTGGGAGGACGACATCGAGCCAGTGACCGACCTCCCCGACCCACGCTCCGAGGACTCGCTCGCGTACTGCGACATCTGGACGGGCGCGCTCGCGCAAACATGCCACGACGCGAACGCGCATTTCTTCGCGCTCATGCGCGCCGAGTTTCAGCAGCAGCCCGCGGAGTACGCGAGGCTGCTCGCGGCGTTCCGGCAGAAGAATAATAAGGGAAGGTGAGCACCCCCTTTCGTCATGGGAGTGTGTTGGAGGGCTGACGGAAACTCGGATGGGGCGGGCAGAAACGACATTGACGGGATTCTGAGCGAGATATCGCTGTTGTTTGTCGGGCATAGCGAGCTCGCGCGTGCGTTCAACCATTGTATGCCGCCGGGGTACCGTATCGAGGCCACGGACGAGTACGTGGCCGTGTTCGTGCCCGGTGGTGGGTGGAAGCAATATCCCACCGGGCTACGTATGCACCACGCCGACATCCATCCGTCTCATTGATGAGACTGCCATCCCTTCACAAAGTGGTGTTGAGAGGCACAGACAAATCGGACTGGACATGATCGAGAGGCGCATCTGTCGCTGTTTGACGGAGTCGGGCACGATAGCTTCCGTTCCACGACTGACCTAACCTTTTGTAGTATAGGCATGGGTAATAGCCGTTGTAGTTGATGACCAACGGCCGTCTATAAAGTATGGTTGGGAATACCACGCATGGTGGGCAGAGAGGATCATCGAGTTAAACATTAATGTCAAATTCACTAGGTGGCTAGAAATTTCTACTCAAGGAGCGAAAATGTCGTCACATCGCCGCTCTACAAGAGAGACAGTTCAATGAAATCACGGATACTTGGACTCGATGTGAAGGCACCCAGATGCGCATTGAACGGCTCCGACTAGGGCCAATCTTCGCCCTCACCTAGATGTTCATCAAGAAATGGGAGCTGGGCCCCGAGGGATCCGATGAAACCGTCCATGTCTCGTGACGCGTGAGACTGGAACGCGAGCTCTGACATCGACCGAGAAGATCCATGTAGCCTGCGCTTGACCTTCTGCAGGTTGATAAGGAACCTCGAGATGACGATCGAGGTTAGGCTGGGGAGAATGTTACAGCAACCTCCTTGAGTAGGATTCAATCATCACGTACGGTCCCCCAAATGTGGTAACTCCGACGTTGTTTTGTGTAGCCAACCCAAACTCAGAGATCCCATCGGAGAATGCAAGTCGAAGTAGAAGTAGAATCGTGGTCGGTCCCTCCATGGAACTTTCCCAAAATAGACTAAAAACGATGTTGAGACTGTTCAGTATCAGCAGTGTCCTGTAGTTCATATGTGATGCGAAGGACTTCAGAATCATAGATAGCGACTGACACCTACAAGAAGTAAACCGTCCCTATGTCATTACACAGAATGCTTGAACAAGTTCGGATAAAGAAAACAGTCGATGATAGGGCTCACCATCACGGAGAAGGGTACTTGCAAAGGTTTGTCTATCTTGGCCAGCCATGAAGCGCTTGGACATCTTGATAGTCTCCCGTGTCCGGTACCAGGTGATGCATAGAACAATGAGTTCGGCTCCGATCAGAGAAGAACGGGCCACGACAGTCACCGTGAGAAAGTCATCACTACTATATTAGCCAGCCAGTTTGAAAACGTCATGATGTTTGAACGTTCGAACCCACATCTAGTATCATGCAGAATATTAGATGGTGTTGCAAAAACCGTGCGTCCAGTTCACTCACATATCTTGTGCACTCGGTGATAGTGAGATGAGAGGGGCGACAACTGATTGAAAAATCTGACAACGGAAACTCCGTTAGAGGGTCGCTAATAGTGTAAGACACGCCGGATTCGGGTACGCACGATCACATTGACCACTACATAAGGGACGGAGGAAAGAGCAAAGACGGCAATCGAGATGGCCGTTCTGTATGGTGCTGGGCACAAGGCGTATGATCTGAGGGCTGAGAATGCTATATGATTTGTGGATGTTAAGCCTCATACATGCCATTGAAATTAGTACACGCACCTGCCCAAGGAATGTATTGCAGTGACTCAATCACAGAGGAAGCGGCGAACCAAGCGACGATACTATATCAGAAGTCTATCTCAGCTTTTGCCACGAGGACCGGTCATAGCAATCATACCCCTGCGGCATTATTGAACATTGTACGAGTGAGTATGTGGGTAAGGGCATACCTTGTAAGATGTAGGTTCCGGACTACAGTGATATACTTGGACAGCCAGTGCGAGGTACCGGTTCAGTAGGAACAGGATCGAGGGCCCATTGAGCTGGCGAGGCCGCAAAAACAAGTTGACTTCGTCGCCAAAGGTGAGGAGGAAGTCATAAACAAACAGTGCTAGAAACGATCTTAGACCTGCTAGTGGAGACGTTTGTGAGGCCAACTGCTCCAATGAGGAACGCACCAAGCACGGCAGTCGAGCATCGACCCGCGAGCTCACTCCAGCTAATTACGAGTGTCAGAGTGCAGATACTATATGGGAGAACTTGACACATACATCGTGCCAAGTATGTCGTCCTGGACGTCTGTATAGTCTGACATTATGAGCTTTTCGGTAGATAGGGCCCTCGTCGAGGGAGGCGAGCTCGCAAGTAGATTGCGGAGGGAGTGCTCTACTAGGGGCTTTTGAACCCTCCAAGTAGCTGACAGCCTGGACGGATCCGATAGTGCAGACTAATCGTCCCGGTGCTGATGAGGCAGTGACCGCTCGGAAACTATCGAGGGGCCCTTCCTGTGGCATTCGCGGTTGGCTAGATAAATTACGAGCGCTGTTTCAAAGACTGCAATTCAGGCAACACCCTAACCTTGATCGTTTCCGCCACGATGGTGCGGTGGGCAGTGGCGTCCCTAAGACAGCAGCTTGGCCGTGACACACAGTTTCACGTGCAGCGAACGGCGCGATGGAGAACGAAAGGTCGATGGCCACAGGATCGCACCTAATTGATGCCATATTTGTTTAAGCAAGGTGCCAGCGGATGTCTCTCGGTTCCGACCTCACTCGGCATACAAGTGAATCGCAGGTGGCCTGCTTTCTCCTTGCATGTGACCATCACATCTGAAGAAAGCATCGTTCACGAGATCAGCTATACAAGAAAGAAACTAGGTGACAGTGGCATGAGGACGTACAATGGCGAGCGAGTTTCCAGCGTCTCCCGTCAAGTTTCATCTCCGGTGTTCATTGGACCGTGGACTCTGGAGCGAGAAACGAAGTCCAAGGGACCCGGTGCCGCTGTCGACGTCAAACGAAACAGGGCGCGCAAACACACTCTTTGATTCCTTTGGCGACACCTGTGTACTCGTTATGTGTATATTTCTTCATCCATGTCGTCCAAGGGCCAGTGCGCGGCCATCTCAGTCCGTTCCTCCACCGACCTGGCCACCGCCAACACAGCCTCCTTCAGCTGCTTGCTGCGTGCCATAGCCTCCTCGTACCGCTCGGTGGACACCCAGCCCTCCGTTCCGAAGCGGATGATGTTCCGGCACGCCTCCAAAGTCTCGTCCGCTCCTCTCTGTGCTTCATCTAGCTGCATCGTCTTGCGTACGTCGTCGGCGTCGAACACGACAGGACACGGCGCGCCTCCCCCGGTAAGGGTCTCCCACGTCTCAGTTGCTTCTATCAAGTCAACCTTGAGCGCGAGAGTCTCGCCCTCCCACGGGTCACTGGCATGACAGAACAGCCGGCGGCGGAGATTGCCCATGGGGTCTAACAGCGCAGTGTAATGGAGCTCGTTGTGCTCCTCCGTGTCCTTGATGTAGTGGTGATGGACGAGGCGGCGACGGTATATCTCCTTCGCTGTGCTTTGCTCGGACCCATGCAAGTCGTCGAAATCCTCCGGTAGCGAAGGTCGCGCCATAGATTGCGAGATAGGATCACCAAAGTTTTCGAAGCGTTCGGGAAGACCGGCAAGAAGAAACAAGGGTAGGATCGGGGCGTGTTGCCAGTCCAACAAGCTGACGATGCGCCAGGTGGAGTCTGGCGACCTCGAAACGATGATATTACCGGACTGCAGATCGGGATGGCGGATGCAGAAACGACCGAGGACCGGGTTCTTGGGTATGAGTGACGGCGCGATCAGGAGATAGCGGTTCAGGTTCTCGATGTGATCCGACGGCGGCTGCTCCTGATACCGGTACGCTTCCCTCCTCATACGCTCGAAAGGCAACAGCGGTCGACCAAATTGCTTCAGATAAGCCAGTTCCTTGTACGCTGGTGCCGCGAGTGCGGCTTCAACGTTTTCATCTATACTCACCAGTTAGTTGAGCAAGTGATGGAAAAGATAGGAAACGTCTTACATGGTCCTCGATCTACGTCGAGCTGCGACCTCCTACCAGACCACAGAGGCAGTCTTGTGTCTGGACCGACGTAGAAACGCTTGTCCTCCAGTGGGATGCCCGGTGTCCCGACCAACTTCTCCAAGTCCTGTGCGTAGTACA